TGGTGTGTTTTATGATGTTGAGTGGAAAAAATGCTTAAGACAAATCTGTCAAGCAGAATGGATAAGACTACAAATAAACAGCAGAGACTTTCACATATGTTACGTGGGCTCCAAAAAACCCACCAAAACCAATCTTTCTTCCAACTCTCCGGGAGTTTGTTTTGCTGTCCAGCTGAGCTTACTCTGACTCTGTAATTGACTGGAGCTGGGTCAGTCCCATCATGCAGTGCGTGGCGGAGCCCTGTGGTAAGGCTGCTGTTTACATTAGAGCTCTAATCAGCCTCCCTGGAGAGCAGCTTCAGATCTAGGCCACTGAGCAGTTTGGGCCGGCCCAATGCACCAGACACACCACAGCTCTCCGTTTCAGAGTGGATGTCCTCCTCTTGAGGGTGACATGTTGACCACTTTACATCTTTGATATCGTCTTCGATAAACGTTCAATACATCCCCTACCAAACAATGCAGGCTGCTGATAGGGTGCTGTCTGAAACCAGCGGTCAGCAATTACTTTTTAATTTGGCCAACTTAACTTCCGTACTTCAGTAACGCCACTTCCGTAGCTATTTTAACCCAAACGTTGACATATTTGTTATGTAACTTTCAAACTTAAGTAAGGCCACTTCCTAAGTTACAGTATTTAACCTAGTCACCTTCCCAGTCACATCCAAAAGTCCAATACTCTTGAATCCTTCACAAAATCTCTCAAAACTCACTTATTCACTCTAGCTTTCAAACTCTGATCAACAACCCCCCCCCCACGCACGCACGCACGCACGCACGAACCTAAAGTTATTTTAACCTCTACAATGATATTTACGTTACATGATTCCAGTTGTTATTTTAGCCCAAACCATACAATTTTCACTAAACATATCGTTTTTTGCCTTAACAGGTTCTGCACTGCAAGGGTTTGCCCTGAAGCTGACCGCTTGTGTTTCTGGATATTAATAGGTAATCGCACAAAAAATGACAAGACAACTTTCCTCAGAGATCATGCAAACCATTCTTTGAGGATATGTCGAACAGGTGGCCACTACTTTCACAAACCTTGTCAGCGGTGAGTTCTCTGATCTTGATGATCTGCACTCTGAACTTCATCAGCAGCGCCTCCAGGACTACGCACTTGTCCTTCCAGTCCTCCTGGCTCATGGCCTCCTCACCCTCCGCCATCACGCCCGGCCCTCTGAAAGAGAACACACAGACAAACACACAGTGGTGAGAAAAATACAGTGAACCGCTATATGTTTCCTGTGGGAAATATTGTCTTTCTATGAAGCTGGTTTGGATTAACCCTTGTATGGTGTTCATATTGTTGTTACTCAGCCAGTGTTCGTGGGTCTGGTGGACCCGCTGCCTTTTTGGGCTTCAAGTCAACACAATCAAACTATTTTATGTTAAAATACTCAACAGATGTTTACTTAATCTCAATTACAAGCAATATAAACACACACACACACACACACACACACACACACACACACACACACACACACACACACACACACACACACACACACACACACACACACACACACACACACACACACACACACACACACACACACACACACACACACACACACACACACACACACACACACACACACACACACACACACACACACACACACACACACACACACACACACACACACACACACACACGACAGGTGCACAGGACCTACAATTTCCACACTTCTGCTAGCCCCGGGTCCAGTGGACCTGAACATCCTGTATGTCATATAAATGTGTAGGGGGGGGGGGGGTACAGTGGGTGGTCATTGAAAATGTGTTCTGATATATGTTCTTCACAGAAAATGAGCCAAGGCCATTGAGTGTGGGTTTGAAAAAATAATTTATCATATCATTTTTCTTTAGCTAAATAATGAAAACGGGTCCCACAGACCCGAACACCATACAAGGGTTAAGTGTCTTTCTCAAGGGCAGCAGACGATTGCTGACCTGGAAACGAAAGTTGGGATCTTTTTGGGCATGTTATGTCTTTAATGTTGTTGATAGCAGAGAGGTCAATTAACAATTTAGTTCCAAAAGTTCTTCATAAAAATTGTGTTTTCCCAAGAACTTCATTTATGTCAGAGTTTCTCGAAAACAGCACTGAAGACTCACAAGGGTTGATGCTCACTAATGTCAATATTGCATTAGGCACGATATGCTGCATTCGTCAGTTCTTTAAATATTATGAAATCAATCAAACATATTTAACATTAAATGAAAGGTAAAAAGTAACTGAACCATATCTGATTTCCACTAAATGACAGATATGAAAATGTCCTTTTCATTTTGCACTGATGATATTATCCTGATTATAATCTAAATATACGTTTAACTCTTCCAATAGCCGTTTTTGTGGAATTTGTAATCATAAATTATAATGGCCCCGTGAAGGAATGATGTTTTCTCTCAAATAGTGGGAGTCTGTTTTTTCTTACAAGATAATTCCTGTATTTTAGAAAATCAGGCTATGTTTTCACTATTCTACCATGACAGCTTTTTCAAGATGGTTACTTCCGAATATTCATTAATTGCCAACAATGGAAATTCACCACAATTAAACTTTTGTGAGCGTTTATTAATCCAAAATACAATGTCATTATGTCCATCTCTACTTGCAAATCCATTTACCACACATCTCAAACTTTAATATATCCCCACAAACATGTGTAAAGAGACAGACAAACAGACAGAGAGGGTGTGTTGTGCAGATGTTTTGCCACTAGGCAGCACCTGAAATGTTCCAGTGCAGAGCCCAGCTGGACCAGTGTGGGCAGTGGGCGTATCATTTAGCTTAGCCAAACAGAAAAACACAACTTTTTCTCCAAAACACCTTGACGCCCTCCCTGGGACTTGCATCATGTTTTCCAGACGCTATCATAGGAAAACAGTTGTACATACAGAGAGTCAGATGAGGATCTCTGATGGAGGAGGGCAGCAGGAGGAGGAAGAAAGAAAGCCCGGGTTTCTCTTCCAAGTAATAACCTCTCATTACCAGCCTGGCCTCCGCACAAAGAGACTGCAAACATGTGTGGAGGAAGGCAATAAACTGCTTTCCACAGGCTTATTTCTGCCGCCTGTTTGCTGTGGTAAACACTGAATAAGGCAAGGGAAAAAAGAGCCCTGATCCCACAGAACAAAACAAAAATAAATTACTATAATATATAATATACTGCATGCAGATCAACAGAGCGATACGACTAAGGAATTGTGGTATCTGGTTTGTATTATACATATCAATTCAAACAAATAATAATATGTAATTTAAAGAATCACATGATTTTCTCAGCATGTTTGTAATCTAGTTTATTGTTAAAGATTAAAAAAATCATCGAAATCATAGTAATTTCCTAATTATGCAACAAAAAGTGCCATTGTTACAATCAACTTTTCCTTTCTTTTATTCTTTGATATTGCTGTGATTCAGTTGAGAAGTTGATTCACTTAAATGTACTGCCAAATACATGTCTTATACGATTATGTTAGGATATTAATACATTTTCTATAATTGAGGACATATATAATTGTTTTTATCCAAGCAGTATTTAACGATGATAATGAAAGGATGTGGGTGGTGGAAAACATTGAAGGCAATTTAACCCCTGAACCCTGACTCTGAGTTTCTTTTTGTCTCTCTCTCTGTCTCACTTCCTGTTGAGTAAAGCCTGTGTCAGTGTAATGAGATAGTGGAGCATTCATCAGAGTGATTCCCTGGGATTTTTGGCTGGAATAATGATGTATCGAGCCATAAAAAGCCCTAACTGGGATTACAAAGTACAGACTGGAATAAAAAGCACCCTAAACATTGGGTTAATATGTATTAAAAAGGTGTTTGTGAATTTTGTTAATGCTGCAAACTTCCCTCAAATCATTTCAGGATTTATGGATTAATACAGTAACAGTGAGCAACTCTGAGTAAAAACTGTAACTTCAAAACGTTTGTGGTACTTTAAATATAATGTACACAGACTATGACACATTATAGCTCATGTATGTTTGTTTTCTGTGATGTCACAATCTTTTTTTAATTTAATTTACCATAAAACCGTACTTTGGGGTCTTCATTTTTTACGAGATATTGTTTACATAACATAAGAGTGAACACCAGCAAGCAAAAGACGCAAATAGCAGTTTATTTTTTCATATACAGTGAATGTGTGAGTAATGGCAAACAGAAGAGACATTGTGTCTATTCATAATTTCAAATATTAGCGGATTTCCGAGAAAGATTAATTGCTAACATCACCGTATAAACTAAACTCAGCAAAAAGACTGCCAAAGACAACTTTCTGTCGTTTCCTATTATAACTAAATTAAAACACTGCAATTTTCTTCCAAATTCTCGACTTACCTTTGAGAATATTTGATGGTTATTTACTACTCAAAGGACTTCACGCCATGTCGACTCCAGCATCAACACATTTCTTGTTATTCCTGTTGTGAAAGTCTTAATTCATGAGTAAAACTGTGCATTTTTCTCGTGCCCAAAGGATTTCATTTCAAGCTCAGGCAAAAGTTGGAGACGGGTTGGATGTAGAGGGCGGGGTTTCGCACAATTACGTCCAATCATATTTTTGGTAGGCGTTTTCTCAGCAGTGTACAACAACGAAGTATGGGTTATATTTACGTGTGTTTTCCACCAATGAATAGCTGGAGCGCTATTTTATGGACAGACAAACTTCTGAGGGCGGCGTGTAACGATTTGTCGGAAGTGACGTCTCACATGTGCAGCATGGACCATGGATTGGTCAAGCTTGTAATAACAATACAGGAAGCTAAAAGTGTAGCTTCAAATGTAAAGTTGTATGATACTCAAGTAGTTGAAACAGCGGCTAATGTCGCACAACACAATGTATGTTTGTCATGTAATTAAATGAAGAATAGAGAAACTCAAAAAGTTCCATATAAATTGCAATTTAATTTGTTATTATTAGGCATGTTTTAAATGAAGTTTTATTCTGAAAATCCTTACCGGAAGTGACTTTACATGAATTTGAGTTGCCTACCAGCTGAAACCAAGTAAACCTTATGCTGAATTGAGGTAAATGCTAGCAAACAAATAACTTTTATATCGTTGTTCCTTTTCTTTTCTTTTCTTTGTGAGCGTTTCCTTGTTTTACCGTGTGAGTGTTGTCTACTTGTGTCTCGCTTTTTAATTTCTGACGTAGACTCAGTGCTATAGCTAGCAATAACTGCTGGCTAACATTAGTCCTAGCATACAGTAATATTACATTTAACCAAGGTAAAGTAAAATATGCAACGACCGCGTGACTTGTCCACGTGTGTGTGTGTGTGTGTGTGTGTGTGTGTGTGTGTGTGTGTGTGTGTGTGTGTGTGTGTGTGTGTGTGTGTGTGTGTGTGTGTGTGTGTGTGTGTGTGTGTGTGTGTGTGTGTGTGTGTGTGTGTGTGTGTGTGTGACAAATAGAGAGACTGAACAAATAGACTGACATGGTGGAGTTCTAACTTTTGTAAATTGCATATTTTTGGATAAACAGTCATGTGAATGAATGAACTATTATTGCTCCTCACTTCATACAGGGAACAGCCATGGTGGTGAAGAAGAGGAAGAGCCCCAAAGTAGAGGCTGTGGTTTTGGATGAGGAGAAACTACACAAGCTGATAGGTAATGTGACCAAAGGACTGAAGTAGAGCACAGGTGTGTGTACCACACACCCCTTCATAGTTTGTTAAGATATATTTAATTGAAAAAAAAGACTGAAAATGCAGTTATCATCTAACCAGAGGTAAAAAATAAGCAGTCGTGTGCAGTGTATTGTATAGGTAGGTACATATGAAAGATATCAACAAGTGAACTAGTATACTGTAGTGTTAAGTAAACCCTCTGAACATTAGTATAACTATTGAAAACACTATGCAGGTAGAAGAACCTGCATATAATATATTAACTACAGACGTAAACAATACGAAACATTATAGAGTAGTTTTCTCATTTAAATATTAATTAATTTGAGTACACTATATATAATTACCATTGCAGGTGCAATATACAAATGACAACATTTAAAAACATATTTTTGAAAAAGTACATTTAAACGAAGGAAAAGTAAACAAGCAGTTATAAACATATAAATAATGCATAATTTTAAATATTTATTCAAGCAACTAAATGATAACAAATTAATACTATAAAACGATATGTAAAGGAAACTATTTTTAAAATAAAAAATAGCTTTTCTTTGTAAATACACACATAAATACAGACAATAATAGTTCAAATGTGTTTTTAATAATTAGAAAAACTATTACATAATGGAAAAAAATGCACACTTGAGTTGTATACACATGTGTTTATTCATGTGCACATAAGGAGTATTTATTACTAATATAAATGTAATTGGGTTAATTTGTATTCTTTGTGATTTTTCCAGCATCCCTCTCTGTGGGTGGAGGAGAGGATGGAGTCAGGGAGGTGGCACAGACCCTGCAGTCCTGCCTGGAGCTGACGGAGCCGGTGCAGCAGATCCAGCTTGTTATAAAGGTTGGTTTACAGAGAAATGTAATCTTCAACATGAATGCAAGATAAATAAAAGTGGGAAATAACTTAAAGGTCCCATTTCATGGCCATTTCTACTGATCATAATTCCATTGTTGAGGTCTACTAGAATAGATTTACATTGTGCAATGTTCCAAACTCACATTGGTTTCTCATACAGCATCTCTGTATAGTATGTGTATTCACTCTCTGTCCTAAACGGCTTGTTGGAGCTCCTGCCTCCCCCCTCCCTGTGAGCCCACTGTGCTCTGATTGGTCAGCTCGCCCACTCTGTTCTGATTAGTCCACCACCGTTACAGCGGAACATCAGTGATTATGTTTTACAATGGCGTTAGCAACCAGAAAATAACACCAGTAATGACAAACAGATGAGAATGCTGCGTGGGGTCTGGGTGCCGTGTTGGCGGGATGTTGCGGGGCTCGCTGCTGGAGCGGACAGTGTGAGCTGGCTTGCTGCGGGGGATCTGCGAGACAGCGAGACACAGTGAAACCCAGCCTGAACCGGACTTCCTCACACACACACACACACCTGCAGCCTGGCTGTGAGTCTACGTGTGTGCTCAGAACGAGCCCAGGCCGAGCCCCGCCGCGTCTCGCCGTCCCAGGCTGAGTTCAGGCTGAGTTCCGGCTGAGTTCAGGCTGAGAAATCAGCGGAGCTGCAGCTGAGAAAAGATTGAGTGTGTGTGTGTACTCTATTGGGTATAGAGACGTTACGTCACTATACCCAATACGTCACTGTACTTACTACACTATAAGAAGAAAACAATGGAAAAAGAGAAATCTCCAACGAGGCGTTCTGGGGCAGCATAGACAGGTCTTTTCTGTGTTAGAGTTTTACTCGCTACAGGGTGTACTTTGAGGGTTTTGACTCTGCAGACCGTTTACATGCATAAAAACCTTCATAACACACAAGGGGACGGGTAATAACCGGAAAAGCATGACATGGGCCCTTTAACAGACCTTTGTGTGTCCATACTTCACCAGGCGGGGTCCCAGCTGGAGGCCCTGAGTGAAGAGCCCTCTGATGGAGCTCTTCTGGAGTCCTGTCTGCACACCCTGTCTCTGGTCTACACCTCCCTGCAGGCTAAGAACCCCCTGCGAAGAACCATCGCCAGGTACAATGCTACATTTTAGGATTTTTATTTGAAACGCATCTCTACAAGTAAATAAGATTGAGACTATAAGGTGATTTCACATGATGCTAGTGGGAAAACCAGTATTTGTTTGGCTGATTTTATTCTTCTTTCAAATGGCAAACAGCAAGAAACGTTTCTAATCAATAAACCGTATATAAATCTAAATCCTCACCGTAACAGCAATGTCAATTCCATATCAGTTTTCAGACTAGTGCAAACTGTCATCTCCAGTGTTATCAATTTGTTTTCATTATTATCAGTTAATCATGAAAGTCATATTTTCTGTATAAAAAAGTAAATATCTTTTGGTCTATTTACCATTTTACATCCCAAGTTTCCAATTGAACAATGCATCTTTTGAATCTTTATTAAATTACAACCATTGAATTCAAACTTAAATATCACAAACATAATTTTGATAACCTGATTATTACCATGTCTCTGTTTTGATATCCTCAGTGCTTTAGGTTCAGTACCAGCCTGGCTACAGGAGCAGACTGTCAACAGTTTGTCCGCCTGTCTGTCCGACTGTCTGTCCAACCCAACCTCAGAGCAGTACCCACACATCACCGACACCATCACTGCCTGTCTGGATGGCTTCGCTCTCGGTAAGGGGGGGGGGGGGTCGTCTTTACCTTTACTCCAGAATTGTTCTACTTTTGAGATAACGGTTATCAAATCAACCTTATTTTGTACTGTAGAATAACTACATTACCTTCCCTCCAGGTGAGAGATGCATTAACAAACTGCTGCCTGAAGGTTAGTGTCCGAGGAATTAGAAATGTCTCCCTTTTTTCTTTTTCTAAAGAAGCCAGTCATGAACTATCTTTCTCCTCTATTTAGTGATGCAGTTTCTTCACAAGGGATTGAGTGAATATCTTCATCAGAACAGGTATACAGGCATATCCTGTGTTCCATATCTTTCCACATGTCTCAGTGTTTTTATATATGTATATCTTTATTAATAGTTATACACCACTGCATACTTTGTAATATACACATATTACGTAACGATTGTTCTAATATAATGAAGTACAATGTGCACATTTATACTTAACTTCTTATGCTAATATAAATATTCTATTTAATTCAATCGTAATGCAATTTTTTATGTTTCATTAAATATATAGATATATATTTTTAATATAATTGTATTTTATCTTTTTTTATTCTAAAACGATTCTACTGTCATAATTATTTTCCTCAGGATAAATACAAATCATCTTATTGTGATTCTGAATATACTGTATATACCTTGTTGTCGCCCCCTGCTGTTGTCCCAGTGGTCTCGCAGGACGTCACATCGCCCAGGCCCAGCTGATGTATTGTTGCCTGGCGACAGTGAAGGCCTCCATGCTGGTGATGCAGAGATCCCAGGAGACCATCGGCTCCTCACTGCAGGCTGAACACACACACACCAAGCTGGAGGACACACTGAGCAGCCTGCTGGGCTGCTACACACACATCCTCACTGATGGTAAGAACCAGGGCAAAACTAGAGACCCTCTGGGGATCACACAACCACCTCTCATACAACTACCAGAATTTAGAAGTACTCAAAAAAAAAGGACCTGCATTCAACCTTTGAAAATGGTAAAAGTCCAAAAGTATAAGCATCAAATTGACCAAAACAATCCATCAAATAATATCCTATAAAATGATATTGAATTATAATGACTGATGCATTATTGTGTTATACTTACCTGTTTCAGCTGGTATAATTAAGATGAGTCTTTGTATTTGATTTTATCTTTTTTATCTATAAAATGCTGGGTAGCTTGTTACTTTCTCCAAGGGATGAATACAGTTAAAGAGATATTTACCTATATTAATGCATGATACATTTGTTTATTATATTGTGTTTTGTTAATATGAATCTGAATCTTCAAAACTAACTAGACTAAACAAATAACTATGTAAAAAGTGTTAGAGTTATGGAGTAGAAGTAAAAAGCAGCATGAGGGAAATGCTTGTAGTACCTGAACACTTTACTGATGTACAGTCCTAACCATAACTTAGTCAATGTATTTCTGTTCAAAACTGTGGAAAAAACAAAACCAGTGTCGCTATTGTGTCTGGTAAATGGTGGAAACACGTGACATGTACAGTGACCCAGCTGATGGAAGTAGACATGAAGATCTGCCTTCATTTCAACGCAGAGACATCTGTCAAGATCCATCCTTACTAAGCATTTATTACAACTTCTCAGAAGAAGTCATTAACTCAGGGAACAAAGGACTGTTGGAAGCAGCTTCTTAGGAGCAGATGGAGTCATGAACTTTCCCATTGCTCCAGAACTTGAAATCAGAAATACCTGTGTGGACACACTCTCCTCTCACTTCCCCCCCCCCTGTTCCTTTTCCTTTCATAGAGGAGTTTATCCAGTCAGTCCAGAGTACAGCGGGCATGGCTATAGTGTTACTGATCCGCTCTGCCATGGGGGGTGGAGATGAAGTTGCCTCTGTGGTGAGTTGTGGTAGTTGTTTAGAATTCTGGATTGTTCACATGTTCACACAAATGTTTCAGAACAATTACTATTTCTTTCTGACTTGTGTATCTTTGAAATACATGTCAAATAAATTTAAAAAAGCGTATTTCTAGGGCTCTTCCAACATTGCAACATACAATACACTTACGGCATAAAAAGAAAAATACATGAAATAGTGCATGTGACATGATGTTGTTAATAAAATGCAGGAATAAGTAAATGATGTACAAATTAAATAGCATAAGATATACATATTTATAATGGTGCATGTTTAAAGCTGCTAATATAATATTCATTCTGTTGAACTGTTCCTCAGGTGTGCAGTCTGCTGCGTGGCTCAGCACAGGGTTTAGACTCCGCCCCTCGGTGGCTGCAGCAGAGGTGTGAGGGTCTGTGCAGCAGCGCTCGCCCCCCCGGGGTCTCTCTGTATCTGTGTCACGGGGCTCTGGCCATGTTGAGCTGGAAGGGCGCTCTGCCCGGGCCGCAGTGGGAACAGCTGCTGCTGCTGGTTCCCAACACTCTGCTGGATCTGGACGTCAGGTACACTGATCCCCAATCAGTACTGACTGCTCTTCTGCTTATATCAGAAGGTTCCCAAGTAGAATCAAAAGTCATTTAAAGCAACAATTTATAATGCTGCCCACAATGGCTGCAATTTGGAAACGATTAGTTATTGCGATCCTTTTGACTTATGTTGCAATTGCAAAAATGATTTGAGATATTAAAGGGAATGGTCATTTTTAAGCATTATTTTCATTATCCTTGAAAAATAAATTAAAATGATCATCTTTTTAAGAAGATCTGTATCAAACAAGGTACACTTGGGCGCCCATAGTGAGTTAATGTTTCATTGCCATAAATTCAATATTTAAACACGTTATATACTTTTAATTTCTTCCAAAAAACAGTACAACATTTGAATTTAAAGGACAAAAAAAAAACGTAATGAAAAATATCACAAATAATATCGCATTCCTACTCAAAACTTGCTTGCAAAACATGCATGTAGATATAAAATGTAGCAGATACAAACAATAAACCAGTAATATTGAGAGTGGCTACTTGTGTGAACCTTCTTTGAAAGTTCCACGTTTTTCTGACGTGTAAACAATTTGTACCCCTCTGCTGTAGTATAAAGGAGTCCAGTACAGCCATGGTGGTGTCTCGGGTGCTGACCCTGTGGAGCAGCGCTGCTCTGGACTGCCTGCAGGGGGAGAGGCAGGTCTGCCCCCCCCGCCTCCAACAATCCCTCAGCGGAGGCTCTGAGCTGCAGCAACGCCTGCTGGAGCACATCTACTCCCACTGGGAGCACCCGCTGGACGGCGTCCGCCACCAAACCCGCGCGCTGTTCCGCAACCTCCTCCTCCTCCACCAGCACACATGTTCCTCCATCTTTGATCCAACCGAGGACTCCTACATCACAGAGCTCACCCTCAGCCTGCTGGGGCTGGAGTGGCACATGAGGGGGAAGTACGGCTCCCTGAGCTGCCTGGTGGAGCTCTACGGGGCGAGGCACCTGCTGGACGTCCAGCCCCAGCTGCCTGTTAGTCTCCTGGGCCTGATGGGGGACCAGAACCTGGCTCCGTACGCCAGCGACCTCCTGGAGAGGCTGTTCGTCAGCCACAAGGCGCAGCTGGGCAGTGAGGTGGGTGCAGTGGACACCACGGGCTCAGAGGCCTGGATGGAGGTTTGGCACAAGACGTGGGTGACCCCCCTGCTGCTGGTGCTGTGCCGGGCCAAGCTGGACCAGACCACGTACATCCTGGACTACTTCCTGCCCAAGCTGCTCCGCTGCAGCCCGTCCAGTCTGACGCACATGGTGCAGGCCCTGCAGGACACCCCGCCCTGCAGCACAGGTGAAGACTCAAATATTCAGACGTCTGCTCCAGCATTTCTGCTATTATTACATTCAAATGTGTGCTGATGGTCAACGTGTCCGTGAGGGACGTTTGGGGAAACTCCGGAAATATTGTTTGTTTTTATTATTGAACTTGAAAACCTATATCCTATAGACAGGCTATATGAACAATGATATCATCAAAGCATGAAGATTTATGATACATAAAGAAGTATGGGATATACATATAATTAATAAACTTGCACATAATGCAAACAAATTAGAAGTTAAACAAATATATATTTTTGTTTTTAAAGCCGTATAAATATTAAAATAAATGAATATTTATTAAATAAATACATATTTAATATATAAATAAATATTACTCAAGGCTTATATTTTAAGACAAATAATTTCCCTGAGCTTTAGGCCTACATATTCTTAAATAAAATAAAACTGAATAAAAAAAACACAAACCAAAATACACATAGGCCTTTCTGTCTCATAACATTTTAATTTATCTGACACACTTTTCTTTATTTCTTCTGTTTTGATTACATCAGCTGCATATGAACATCTCTTAGCTCCACAAAGCATCCTATTGTGGTATACACATTGTGAACACGTCCTCTCCACAGCTACAGGCAGCATTCTCTAACAGCATCATCAATCAAATGAATGGCCGCTCTCTGAACGCTGTGTTTCTGTCCTCACAGGCCCTTCGGGCAGCAGAGGAGCACTGGGCGCTCTCATGACGTGCCTGCGGGCGGCCCGGGCCCAGGGTGTCGTTCCGTCCTCAAAGGAGGGTCTGTGGGGGGGCCTGGTGCCCCTCTCCCTGCTCCAACAAGCACTGGTACACAAACATGATCAAGTGAGTGTCTGAGCCCTCATGTGTAAAACCTTTGTTCTCACTGAAGTGTTATATAGTAGATATCCTATTGAAATAACCCCTCTGATCAAATATGACTTATTTTTCAACAAATCACATTCATTTTTTTGGAAAATGACTCTATCTCTGAAAAATCCTATTATTTAAAACTGCAACAATCACTCACACAAGCTACGCTTTTCTAAATATGTCTACATTTTGGTTAAAATGACTTTATTTAAGAAAAAATGACTCTTTATTTACATTTTCAGTATCTAATGTAAATATACAATTGTTCCCTCAGGTGAGGATGGACGCCTTGGGGTTGGTGTGTGAGACCCTCCGCAGCACCGAAGCCCTGACCCCTCAGGAAATGGACCTGATCCGTTACTTCCTGCCGCATAATCTCAACAGTCAGGCACCAGGCGTCAGACAGCAGACAGTCAGCCTGCTGAAGAAGGTCAGACATTTACATGCATTGACTTTGGCTGTTGCATAATATTTCTTTAAACATGGATTTAAGTTTCTCAGCTCATTTCAAGGCTCAGATGGCAACCTACAGTCATTTTATGAGCTAGGAGCAGTCTATACAAGGACATATATATATATATATATTCAAAGGGATCCTCAGTGCTAACAACCCTTTTCTCTTGCAAGGCCCAATCGATGACACAATTGTATGATGAAATAAAAACTTCTATCACTAAATGGAGCTTGAAATCCTCTCCTGTCCAGCTGCTGTGTAGATTGAAGGACAGCGCTCTGCTGCTGCAGAAGAGAATGAGCCAGGAGAGAGATCCGGCCAAGAGAGACGCAGACCAACACACACTACATCAGTACGAGGTGAACCACACTCATGAACACAGCAGAGCACACAGTCTTTTTTTCCTCTTTTGAAAGAACTAAAAGGCTTGTTGTGTGTAGGAGTTCCTGCGCTGGCTGTGTGTGAGCCTGCTGGAGGTTCTGCTTCCTGGAGCGTCCTTCTCTAAGTGCCTCATGGCCCTCCAGCTGCTGTGTCTCCTGGGCGAGCTCTTCACCTTCAGCTCCGGTACGTCTACTCTTCATCAGCAGCACTCGTACATGACTTACTAAAGTTCACTAATTATGACAGTTGTTACAGCATATACAATATATATTATTATCATTGTCACAAAAGCAAATGCTTGTCACTGTTATGAAAGATTATCAAGTAATTCAATTCAATGATATTGCATGCAAGCAATAAGAACAGGGTTTAAAAGAAGGTGAAAGTATTACTACGGGTAACATAACATTGAATGTTAAAGTGGACCTATCATGCTATATTTGAATAATATAGTGTAGGACCATACCTATATAAGGCATATTTATACTTTTTTTTTTTCAAAATACCAAACAGATCATGCATTTTAGCCATGCCTCATTTCGCTCAATTTGACTTTTTTTAGCTCTGTTTTTGCAAGGGCTGATTCTGTGAGAACAGCACCACCTACAGGCCTGGCCTGTATTACAGCGTCTCCAGCGCTTTCGAACGGCAATGTCCGTGGCTGTCTCCTCCTGATTGGTGGAGTTGGCCCAATAGCCGTAGCGCCACCGTCCTGACGTCAGGACAGTGTTCAAATCTGGATCAGTTTTTATCAGATCCGTTGCAGCCCCTTTTTTAGAGATTTGGGTATGGAGGAAAATAGAGAGGGTTGTGTTTTCTGACACTTGGTGAGTTCCCTGGAACACCGGGGACACATATTCATGTATAAAAGACGTACAAAAGTGCATTTTGCATGATAGGTCCCCTTTAAATATGCTACTGTACATTGTGTCTAAATTGGGAGAGGGATAGTCTACTTTAATCTCTGTATACGAACTGTTTATCTGCAATTTTCTGTAGTAATTCCAGTCATATTTATTCTTAAACATACTAAAGAAGCATATCAAATGCAGAACATACATCATCTACTAAAACAGATTTCTGTTTTGTTTCAATTTGGCAGTTTTAGATCCACCTTTTCTGGTTCAATATGCACATTACGATACAGGGCCAACATGTGTGCATTGCTACAAGAACATTTGTGGACAATGTCCCATTCTTTTTTCCATAAATGTTGTCTTTTGGACTTTACAATGCTCTTGTGTTATTTTGAATTGTTCTCCTAACACATTAAAACAAGTATATTCTGCATATAGTATAATCCTTATAATATCTGTCTTGCCTAATCTTTATCTGCAACTGTGCACAAATACCAGGTTTCATACACAATGAAGAGATTTCTCAATAACATGCATTGCACACGCAGATCAGTCTGACTTTCAGTGCTTTGTTCAGGGACAACTTATTGACGATGATGCCTGGCAACTTTTTAAATAATAGTGTCGCCTCCGCCTCTGTTTTCCCCTCAGACTCAGGTGTGTTTGCCCTCGGTGAAGTCGTGACCTCCGCCCACGCTCAGAACGTCCTCTACAGCGTAGCCAGCAACTTCCTGGAAGTCAAACAACTGGCCTCAACGTTACTACGGCAACTCCCACCATCAGCTGTTGGATTACAGGTTAGTATGAGGACCATGCTCAGTCACTATATTTAATTATATCTTATAATGTGATGACATTTGTTTGTTGTTATAGAATACTTTTAGTTTGTTTTGGTTGGTCACACCCATATCTAAAATGCATTATATAACATACTTATAATGCTTTCAAATCTTGTTATAGCACTGTTTATGGTTAATTATAGTTATATAACTCATATTTCATAATGCTTTATACAAATAATTACAGTATAGAGCATTTCATAATATATTATCAGGTCAATAATTCACCATTGTTGATTGTTTTGCAGGTGTATTATCATTTCACTAATTGTAATACTATATATATTGCACTATAATCATTGTTATATATATATAAGTTATTCTAATTGGCACAGTTTTGTTTTTGCATAGATTTTAAGATATTTTGTATTAATTACTTGAAGCTATGACCAGTAACTTAAAATATTATGAAAGTACTAAAAGTATTTGAGTTCTTACAGTACAGTACAAATATGATAATGCATGATGATTACAATCATATTGCATTTCAAACAAGGGCAACGTCGCTAGTGTCCTTGATTGAATATATCTGCAATGTTTCTACTGTTCCAACTACAGTAACTGGTAGAAATCACATTCCAGTGGTTGTGTCGGTGAAACCCAATGACCAACTTCTTCTGTGTTGTATTTGAAACTGTTTTGACTAACTCCACCTTGGTCTTGATGCTGTGAGGTGCCGGAGAGGATGCGCAGGGTGCTCCAGGCTGCTCTGGACCTCAGCACCAGCACCAAGCCTTTTGACAGCGTCTCAGCAGCACACCTCCTCCACCTGCTGCTCCCCCAGCCCCACCTCACCGAGGCTCTGCTGCACTGCGCCCAGCAGCAGGGCCTCCCTTTCCACCCCCCCTCACCCTTACCTAACGCGTCTGAGGCAGTCATCTTGGAGCTCAACACCCTGTCTGGTAAGATCAAGATGCATTGCCCTAATACATATCTGTGTGTTTTCACTGAATTAAAAAAAAAGAATAATATTTCTTTGTTCTTCTGTCCTCAGTGGTGCAGTTGTTGCTGTGCTGTCTGCAGTCGGAGGTTCCCAGGGCGGAGGCTTCTCTCTTGCAGGCAGCTGCTTCCTATCCTCTCTACGGCAGAGCCCACTGCATCACTGCTGTCCTGCAGCCTCTCAACTTCGAGTGAGCACACGAATCACAAACACATACACAACCTTATTCCGCAGCTTAGTTGAATACTCGATTCTGATTGGATGTTCTGCTATACAATTTGACCTAGGGATAGCAGGCCTTTGCTGAGGACGCTCTGAGCTTTCCTCCATCAGAAAACACTGTGGAATACTTTTAGAATATTCATTTTATATTACTGGAAAATGACATAAAAAGAAAACAAGAAACCAGCGCAAGAGAAGATAAGAGGTTAAGAGACTCAGAGAGCTGGACAATAGACCAGCAGAAGACATACAGGAAGTAAACACCTACAGGAACACAGTATGGGCTCTCGTAGTATTAAAGACTGGTTCATGGAAAAGAACATGTGAACAGACTTGGACAGTTACACAATCAGTGCTGCCGTCATTTTGAGTTACCGTTGTAGATTCTGATTTGTAACCATTGCTGTGCCGTAGAACAGACAACTTTCTTAGCGTATGCAATATGATCCCTTTTTAATTAAAATCATGTTTAAATTAGTATGTTGAGTCAAATTATTGATGTATTCAATCAGTAGCTGGGATAATATGCAGTGAGCTGCTCATAATGGCAAAATAACCCCCTTCAGACTGATTGAAGACCCCTCTGCTCACCCTGTTACATACTTTATTGTTAAATGTTTGTGTGTGTTTAGGACTTTAATCCAGACGGAGCAGTGGAGGTGTGTGGTGTCAGAGCTGATCGCTGTGTGCTACAGGATGTCTGACGTGGTGTCCCCTGTAGTCCAGAGCTCCTCCCCAGAGGGACTCATTCCCATGGATACAGACTCAGGTAATCCCATTTCTCAGCCTGGCCTCAGATGATGCTGCGTTTCAACTGGAATATAGCATCTTTTCTGTGTGTGTTTGGACAGAGACGTCAGCGGGTCTGCAGAGGATCCTGCAGGAGATTCAGCCCAGAGACAGCAACGACTTCTTCACCAGCGCCAGAGAGCTGGACACACACACTGGAGATGATCAAACACAGACCACACACACACCGTCACTGAACACAGGTGAGATAGAGATCATTGTACTGATTCCAGTTACATCAAAATACCAGTAAATATACTGCATAAGGGAAAAGTGACAGGAAAATGCCAGTGTTCTAAAGAAAACAAGTAGATTGACGATTTTGTCAACATATTTAACAGTTGACACAGGCAATTGAGGTTTATTTAAGCATTTGCTTACGTTTCATTTTTCCGAAGATTCTTATTTTGTGTCAGTTGGAGGAAAAACTCAAATGTTGCTTCTCCTAGGCCCTTTTTTAAGAGCCAATCCCACCGGCAAACATGCAGAAATATGCAGTTGATAACCTCCCTAACCAGACACAACCATCAAGCTGTATGCATTAGTATCACTATCGTTAGAACTGTGGACAAAGACAATGACAGATGTAGACAGCGTGCCAAGCCTGTATCTTTGAGATAGGGAGGGAAAGAGAAGTTGGAAGGTGAACTAAATAATGAGAGATTTTTGTTTTTCTTTAACTACATTTTGGTCTAGATTTGTTGCTCTGTCAAAGTTGGTGTCCCATGTCCTTGCTGTCTCTTAAACAAAGGCAGTTTACGAACACATATTATTTTCTTTGTGGTCCTCAGACTTCGTACACTCACCCATCAACCTTTCTGCTTGTGAGTACAGTATTCCTAATGTCCTGATGGGGGTGGTGTTTGACCTCGTTTTGTGTGGTATATTTATACAGACCACAGTCCAATACTTCAATGAATCATAATACATGATTACCTAAGCCACTGTGACTGTACAGTGATAAAGAAAGTCAAATGGCTCTGTGTAATGTGTGTTTTCTGTATGTCATAAACCACAAAAACTAGCACAAGACGTTACTCTGGACGTCTTCAGTTTCCATTGAAAACAACGCTTTGACATGGCATATTGCATAATAAAACAAACACATCTTTTAGTTGAAGTTATGAGGTAATAAAAATGATCAAACTTTTTCCATGTCACTTTCTGCATGTGTGTGTGACTGTGTGTGTGTGTGTGTTGGCTTCAGGCGGGGAGGGCTACAGAGTGACAGCCCAGATGGTGCTGGTGTGCTGCTGGCGGAGCATGAAGGAAGTGGCCATGCTGCTGGGACAGCTGTGTCAGAGTCTGCCTCTGCACTGCGCCGACGACACACACGCTGGACTCATCACTGAAGAACAGGTGAGCTCCTGACATACCAAACACTCTCACAAAGCTGCTGTTGCCACATATACAGTAGCATCCAGCCCAGTGTGTGTGTGTGTGTGTTGAGCCTGAGATCTACTGTTGTGTGAGTCTTTCAGTATCTAACAATTCGATTTCAAATGTATTCTGGATTCTTTTAATAGTGGTGGATGCAATCCAGTCCTCCGTACACTAAAACAAATAGTTGTATATAATAGTGATAAATGGTTATAATTATGGAGATTTCATTTTAAATATGTTATATAAACTGAATGCAATAAAGTAAACACACAAAGGCAAACTTAAAAGGGCCCAATTATGCTTTTTGGGGGTTTCCCTTCCCTGTAGTGTGTTATATATATTGTTGTGCATTTGAATGGTCCACAAAGGCTAGAATCCCTGCCTGAAACGCCTCCATTGGACTCCTTTGTTTACTTCCATAACATAGTGACATAACTATGTAACACTCACGCTTCTATTGGCTATCGCGCCAACACATTGTACGTGATAGGCTAAGGGTTGGGACATCGGTTGACCAATCACAACAGAGCCGGCCAGCTAACCAATCAGAGCAGACTGGGCTCTGGTTTCAGACAGAGGGAGAAAAAAGGTGCTGCAGCACAGTATGAGAAAATAGAGGTTTTTTTGAACATTAAAGCATGGAAACATGTCTCAGTAGAGGAACAAAATACAAATATGAACCTGAACATTTGCATAATAGGGCCCCTTTAAGACAAAATGTTGCGTTATTAATGCTAATTTGGTACAAAAACATTTTTACTAAAGCGCTGTTCGTATCACTGCACCCATTTACTTTGGATAAGCAATATATATTTCTACCCGATAATGTTGTAAAATGGCTGGATATTGTTATCTTGTATTCAGTATTTGTATAATAGGGATGTCACAATTCACTAGCTTAAAACTGTCCTCATTTAAAGCAACATGTTTTGTCCACATGTGATGGATCTATATAGAAATAGCTTATTTCATCACTGTCATCGTAAAATCCTGTCACATCAGGGCAACGACTCAGTTTTAGTGCCCTGGCCTCATGTTACTTTCAAAAAATAATCCACACAGTAATATGTTAAATTAGGCTCTAAAACATAAAATAGCCCCAGCTCTGTATGTTTGTATGTTGGTCGTGTTGGCTGCTTTGAAGTCACATTTTGGGAATAGGATGGCTAACAAGGCTAACCAAAGTATGACAGCTGGGCTGTGGCAGTTTGCTGCTAAGAAGCTAAGCTGGCCCCCCCACCTTGACCATATTGAGGGATCTCATCCAAAGACAATCAGACAGAAAAAACTGGCATGAGATAAAGAGATTTGTTTATATCCACACACAAACCTAGTATTCCCATTTTATTTTTTTTTAAACCGTCATTCATTTGACCGTATGTGTCTGTTCTGTTGCAGAGAATGATGTGAATGTGTGTGTGTGTGTATGTGTGGTTGTGTGTTTGTGACACCACGCTGGGAGGCTCTTCAATTAGCATCCGCCCTCGTTAGCGCTGCGCTTTCATTTGAGGCCCGACCCTGCTGGTTTAACGGCCGCGATGCCCCTCCCTTTCCACTGCATTCTTTCCAAATCACTTCCACCACCAGCAAGAAAACACTGGGCGCTTTAAAACCACACACACACACACACACACACACACACACACACACACACACACACACACACACACACATACACATACACATACACATACACACATAGACTGACACACAGACTGACACACAGACAGACTCACACAGGAATACTTGTCTGAGTGCTTCAGCATGTGAACGTCCATAATAACAAGGGCACCAGACATAGGCTGTGTTTGTCTGCGTAGGGGGTGTTTGTGTAAATGTGTTTGCCTGTTGAGCATGTATTTACACTTGTCAGAGAGAAAGTATCACACTGTACTGAATGTCTGTTTTGTGTGATGAAGCAATCAGGAATGTGTGCAAAGACACTGTTTACTAGAAGATAAGCAGCAGGCTGAGCATTGTATTGTTTTTCTTATTCATAAAATGGCTTTCACATTATTTCCTGTTCGTATTTGGAACGACTGACATTCATTTAGATTTTTATAAAAATAGCTTTTGTGTACAAACAAAGCACTGTTGTACAATTGGCTGGATTAAAGAGGCCCTATTAGGCTTTTTCTGGTTCTCCCTTTCCTGTAGTGTGTTATAAAGCTTTTTGTGCATGTAAATGGTCTTCCAAGGCTGAGTTTCTCTCCCACATACTCCCTCCCTGCCTGAAACGCCTCCATTGGACTCCTTTGTTTACTTTGGTTACATAGTGACATCACGACTAAACAGTCGTGCTTGTATTGGCTACAGCTTCAACACATTGTACCTGATTGGCTAAGGGGTGGGACATCTCTAAGCTGTTGACCAATCACAACAGAGCTGGCCAGCTAACCAATCAGAGCAGACTGGTTTCTGGTTTCAGACAGAGGGTGAAAAGAGGTGCTGCAGCACACAGTACTTTTGTACTTCTCTTTCCATGTTCTCAGCTATATTGCTGCTACATTTCAACCACAAATCCATATTTTACTCATTTTTGTCTGTCATTCGTCATTTAAACTGGCTTAAGTGCATGAATGTGAAACCCATAGGCCTCAGTTATGCACATTACACTTGTTAATGAGTTTTTCAGTTTCATGCTCCATAAAATGTCCTCAATTTGTTCATTATACCCTATAAAGCAGTTGGACACAATAATACGCTGAATGTAATCGGGCCCTATAAAACACTGTCAGTGTGGTTGTGGCATCAGTATTGACTCCTTTCCTGCAGCGTCCTGCAGAGATAATTGACGGTGATATTATGGATGTCAGCTGTGGTAACTATGGCGATCGACTTCCCTACATAACCGATGATTTAATAAACTCAAGCTGAGGACCACGTGGACGGGAGGAAACTGTGAACTCCCGTCCTCTCCTTCTTTACCGCATCTCTATTTCTTTTACTTGTCATCGGTTCCACGCTCTGTAAGAATGTGCAAGAAGTGTGTGTGTTTATGTGTGTGTTCGCATTAACGTTCAGTGGGGTGATTCCAATAGTGTTTGGAAAGTTGGGTCTGGCGAGGCTTCTGCGGACACAGTCATTCTGCCCTACCACAGTGATGACATGCATGGGCAAACGTGTGTGTGTGTGTGTGTGAGTCCATAACACATGTCTTTCCTTAACGTGTGGGAGCACAACATCTTCTGCGGCCCACAGCTAGCATCCTGTTTTACATCCTTGTTGGCCTGGCAACCGTGCAGATGTCTCTGTCACTGGGTAGCACCAAGGCAACAGGAATAGAGTGGTGCAGGAATGAGTCTTAAAACCCAGAAATCAGTTGCCGTTTTAAAACTTCTCCTTACCTTGTCTACTAAGCCAACAGTTCTTTTTAACACGTTTTTGGTTAGATGTCTGAAGTTTTGTTCTACAACATACAGTTAACAGCCCACTCATGAATATCAGAAGCTTTTGGTCTTTTAAAAACAACAGTTGCTAACAAGTGTCTGAATAAAACTACTATTCGTCAACAACCAAACATTAGCTGCCATTAGCTTAGCGGTGGTGACGTGAACCAATTTGGAATTGTTAATTGTTAAGATTATTTTGCTGAACAAACCGTCTAATTACCATAAATGTTTGTTTGCCAAAGATCTTATTTTCTGCCATACTTCAGAAAGGAAAAATTGCATTGTTTTTTGTCAAGGCTAACGGACCGTCTCCACGGCAGCGTTAAAAAAATCTTGGAGGTGGGCGTATCTGAGGCTTGGGGATTTTTTTGCGATCAACCAATCACATGAATCTCCCGCCCGCGACATACGAAGCCAAAAAGCCTGAAGTAAACTGGATATAAACTCCCCAAAACAGGCGAAAACATACCACTGTCTCTGCCACCTCCCTCCATGCCTGGCCCCTCCGGTTTATATCCCGGTAGGTCTGGTCATAAAGCACCGGGTGATTGATTCGCTACTGCTAATTTCTCCTCCATTTTTTGGAATATGAGGAAATGACCTGCGGTATGTCTCTCCCAGCATACACGCCGTTTGATTGGCTAGAGCTTGAACTGTCAGATTTGCGTACACGGGATTTGATTGGCTGACGCTTCCTCCTCAGCTTCAAAAGTTGAACATTGTTCAACTTTGGATCTTGAAAATCCTGAGAATCTCCGCTCGCCTGCCCACAATGCATTTCGGCGAAAGCGAAAAAAAGTGACGTCACCCCATTCAAAGTGAATGGGCAGAAGCGTTTCAAGATTTTTTAACGCTGCCGTGGAGACGGCCCGTAACTTCAGTGTAGGCCTAAAAAAAATACGTCATCACTGTACCTCTTATATCATCGGGTTAATTTTTCTCATGCCACGCGTCTCTGTTGGCATTCCAGAAGGCTCCATATGATGAATATCATCATTATCAAGTCGTGATGTAATTAAGTAAATAATCACTTCAGAGTGATACTGACAAAAGGTTCCTAACTGTGACATGCAATATGTTTCCAATAAGCCCTTGCCTACAAAAAGTCCTCATCACGGCATCACTCTACAGTTGTGGGTGGGTGTAAATGGTTATATTTGATTTCTTTATTTCATGACTTCAGTCGTCTGTTGTTGACCATACAATTTAGGGACACCGGCTGAGATAAAAGGAAGGAAAAACACGTTGAAATCCTGAAAGGACAATACTAGTGTGTGTGTGTGTGTGAGAGTACTGTACGAGTGGGACAGACCACCAGAGTGGCTGGTCAGCTTGATTTTGACAGCTTGGTTTTTTATTTGGCATAGCTCGGCCTGGGTCGGTTGGAGCCTTGGTTACACAGAGGTGACTAAGAGAGAAACACACCCACATAAACACACACACACACACACACACACACACACACACACACACACACACACACACACACACACACACACACACACACACACACACTGCTATGAACACAATAGGAATGCTTTGTCTCACATAGCTCTGTGTTTGCTTTCTAGTGCACAATATTTAGACCATTTTATTTCAGTGTTCCATGTCTAAAAGCGAGTTTTATGGCCCCTAAGATAACTGTCTAAGGTTCTCACAGTGTAAAAAAGGATTGTTTATATTGTGTATTCTACTCTGTGTTAAAATAATCTATAAAGATGGAGCATATTTCCCCCTAACCCCTTAAAAGGATGCAATTTACATCATGGTTTATCAATCCGTCATCATTGGACAAAATGATTTCAGCGTGGCTGCAGATTTAAAAATGGGTTTACCTAAAAGCAATATACACATGTGTGTATGGTTGTATTTGCAAATGAAAGACTAGAAAGAATATATTCAAAATAAAAAATAAAGATTGCGCAAAATGATGGTGATTCATACAAGATAGACCCTACATCTAATAAAATGTGGGGTCTTTACAACTAAAGACAAAAATAAGATAATTAGGTAGCAAATTAGAAGTGATATCAGGCAAAGCATCTATTTCCCTTTACCAATTTGACTTATAAGAGAAAATGCCCATATTTATAAAAATGTAAACATGTCTGGAAGTTTGCGTTGTTATAGCAGCACTCCGTACTTACTGTATTTTCTTCTTGAAGAAACATTGACACTTGGATCTGTAACCCTCTGTTGTATTGGTTTAAAGAAACTCATCCACAACCTTTTACTGATGCGTGACTTGCTTCCAACAGGTGAAGGTTAATCAAGTCTTAAATAAGTGAATATGACTGATTTGTATATATCAGAAAAATAACAGTTGCAAGTCATGATGAAATACATATACTTTAACTCCAATTAACTGTCAATACATTTCATTTTACACATCAACATATTTACCAAACTTAGTCTAGAAAAGTTGATAAACCATTTATAGAGCTTCACAATTCAAATTGCAGCAACAACAACAGACATGATCCGAGCTGTCTAACCCTGTCTGTCAGCCAGAAGTGAACTATTATGATCATGACCCCAAGCCATACACATACATGTAATTAGACTTGGGAAAACTTCCCTCTCTGCACAGTTTTTTCTGGGAAACAGGCACGTTTGCAAACAGGAAGTTGACGTCTAAATAAAGCCCCCCTGTAACCTCCCCCAGGAAGCTTGCTCGGCCCTTTTTAAACAGTTACACAGACGGCAACCTTCTGAAGGGGAGGCTTTAAATAGGCCCGGCTCGGCCCAGCTCAGCACCGCAGTGGTCTGAAGCCCGGCAGCCACGGGCCATCTAACGGTGACTGTCGCTGCCATTTTTACCCTGGTGAGGTCAGGCCTGTGCTGGGAGTCCACTCTGTCCACCAATGTGATAAGTCATTGGGCTTGGTATGGCTGTGGTTTACTTAAGCCATACTTTGGTGTTAAAGTTAGTGTAATTTAAGTCTGCTGGGTCAGTCGAGTTTATTGACCAGTCATGTGGCCAGAAACAGGCTGCCTAAGCCCTACGTTTTAGTTTATTCTTTTACTTTTCTATTTTTAGTTTACACATTATTTTCATTATTTTCTTTCTGTTTTAGCACATTCTCCTTTCTTCAAATAAACCAATGTATTTAGTAAGAACATTTCAAGCAAATTGTCTTAATTTCCATATACTGGAACATCACTTTGTGTCAGTCCGTGAAGTCATTGGGGCCCAAAAAGACTTGACTTACAGACCAGACCAGACTGCCATGACGGAGCAGATTTGAGGCGGGGCTTAAAGTGCGCATGCTCTATGGGCCCAAAGATGCGAGATATCGCCACTCCGGATATTATTGTTCTTGATAGAAAGGCCATTTTGGCTTCATGTGCCAGTGAGCAACTTTCGTATGAATGAACCAGACCCCACTTCCAACGCCGTATCAAGCTCTCTTTACACAACCATGTTATAAAGTCCCTGTCACGCATCCTTGTTCTATCACCCAGTGACATCAGGGCTCCTGGCTGAGTGTTCCAGTGACTGGCTCCCGGTTCATCTGCGGGCCTGTGTATGTTTAGATGTTGTGTCTAACCCCACATCCCCTAAGGGGCTGTTTTGGGGATTTTTTTCTTCTTTAACACTGGGGTTCTTCTGCATCTGGGCCGTGCCACCCCTCCCTTTGCCCTCCATGCCACCCCTGACTAAGACGAGGCTTGGCCGCCTCTGTGGTGGCGGTGAAACCACAGCCCAAATGACAGGGCACTGAAGCTCTGCGTCCGCCTCGCCCTGCCGCCTCACCTGCAACACACTCACCAGTTTACACTCTGAGTTGTGTATGTGTGTGTGTATAGTTAGAATAATGTCGCTAACACTGTTACTAACGTGATGGTTTTACTGACAGTGGCCATTATGTGGATGTCTCAGCATCCTTTTTTGAACACACTTGTCACGCTACTGACATGCCGCTCTCACGCTTGACATGCTCGATGCTTACTGGCTGAAAACGTAAGTTGTGTCTCTAAAACACGAGTGTCTCCGGGGCTACAGCTTCACTTCTCTTGCCAAATAGAGAAAAGGCCATAGTGGGATTAGATGATGCAGTTCTTCTGAGTATCTTTTACACACACCACTGCTCTGCTTTTAGTTGGAATTTAGGAGTTGGAGACAATGAACCATTTTATGTCTTAATGACTAAGCTGCTAAGGGAAGTTGTTCACTTTTACTACTGTATGCATTTGACTGACCATGAATGGAATGAGGTCATTTACAGGGGGGTGGGGATTTGTTTTTGCATTAAGTTTATTGCATGTGTTTAGATTGAATTGCTTGACTTTACAAAATGATTCACACACTAACTCAAAGGCTACAAAGAGTGGTTTATTTGAGATGTTACTGCTTTGTTTTCATTGTACTAGTGGAAGAATTCCCACAAAAAATATGTCATGATCTTTTAACAGGAAGCATGCATCTACTCATGGACAGGAGGCTTGTGATGGCACAGGATGTAAACATTACGGACATCCTCCTCGGCTAAACGTTTGCTAGCTCAGGAGAGCCTCTTGTCCATAAGTAGGATCATGCTTTCTTTTGACCCTTCAAACACGATAAGCCGATGCTGTCTAGTTTCAATATAGTGGAGACGAGGCAGATATTTCAAGGCGAATATCTCTATTATTCCTCTGCAACTCACACCTAAACAATACAAATATATGCATCACACTACAGGTAAGAGGTAATGTATTTAGATGTTTGGGTAAAATGCCCTTGGACAGTATTGCTCTTGTTGTAGTTGAGTTTCTGATTCCCTCTCTGTGTCTCTGTTACAGGTGGAGGGGGTCGGTCTGTACTTCCGTCAGCAGCTCCTGCAGTCCCGTCATCGTGGCGCCTTTGAACTGGCTTATGTGGGCTTTGTACGCCTCACCGAGATGCTCTGCAGGTGTGTGTGTGTGTGTGTGTGTGTGTTCACATTTCGGGCAAAGGGCTGAAAGGTAATACTGCTGAATGGCTGAGGGCATTAGCTCCCATCATGACAGAGTGTCAGTGTGCCTTGTTATTAGCACGTAGGCGGGTCCTGTCAGTATCACTCTTCAGGGATAATTTACTTAATTATGTCAAGACTTTGTAATAGGTGTTATTCATCATACGGAGCTCTCTGGACGGCCAACACAGACGCACGGCATGAGAAGAATTAACCAGCTGATAAAATAGAGTGGTACAGTGATGACAAACTTTTTGTAGTTGGCATCGCAAGGATTCCCTTGACTAAAAACTCTGGGATTTTTTTCATTGGATTTTAGAATATTGCAGGAAATAAGATCCTTGGCTAACACACATTTATGATACTTACATGTTTCGTTCAGCAGGGTAATCTCCATATATTGACACCACTTTTGAACATGAATGCAATTGCAAGAAGTAAAAAGCTTACGCTACGCATTACCTCAAGTTTTGTTTCCTTTATACTGAGGCTGTATAACACAAATGAATAAGTCAATCAACTAGGTATCGTACATGCCAAAGTATAGTAGTATTCGTAAACTATAGTCTTTTTGTGACATCACTATTTAGGCAAGGACAGGCTAACTGTTTTGTGCTAGGCTAATTTAGCCAGCACACAGGCCGTGGCTTCATAATTGTTGAACACAGATAAGATTGATATTAATAATGTTATCAGAATCTTGAAAAAAAAAATACTAAAATATTCTAATTTTGAAATATTCAGTCAGATTTATTGGTTTGTGGAAAAAGAAAGAAAAAAAACACCGTAAAACACTAATATTTCATGATTTCATTTCCACATTAAACGTGACTTTAGTCTCATACACATTCCAATTCACACTCCCCATCCATGTGCTATTGATGGAAAGAATCCTACTACTATCCTCCTGAGGGCAAGAGAAAAAAACAATCTTTTAATTGACAACAACATGAAAGAATCTCTCACTCTCCCGCACCTCCCTGTTTCTCCCTCCTCACCGCCGGGTTGCGGAAGATGTCTTCGGCCCCGCGGCAGGTGACGAACCACACAACCGTCACAGCCACACGTGTGGACTTTGAACCACCCAGCGCTGAGCAGTTAAAACAAAACTCTCTTGTTTTGTTGTCCAACAGAAACCAGTCTGGCGGTGTGTTGTGAAACGAGACGACATTCTGGTGGTTGTGTGGAGCAGCACAGGCAGTGTGTGTGTCCTGCTCCGGGCATGTGTGGATGTGAGTGTGTTGTTTTCAGGAGGGGAAGAGCAGTGTGTGCTCGGTATGCAGGCCGTGTGCTGGGTTATGGGGTGTTGATTGCGGGGTGCTTAACTGCGGCCCGTTTGATGCTCTGCCTCGAGATCTGGCTCTAATGTGTTCCACTGTTTTTGCACTCTCACTGTGTGTCTTTTTCTCACTTTATCTAAAACCATTTATTATTTACTTTTAGTTTTCTTTTTTCAACCACTTTTGTTGTTAGTTTTAGATAACTATTCTAACCATTTATCCATGACTTTTAGCTGTTTCCACCAGTTATTTGTGACTACAGAAGTACCCTGCGGGGTTAAAGTACCCCTTGTTGTAAATAACTGGTGTTTGTCAATGGGGAAGTCTCTTGTGTGTGTGTGTGTGGCGTCCCTGTTATGTCAAGTGTGTGTGATGAAGTACACGTGAAGTACCCTGGAGTGTGTGTGTGGCAGCGCGGCCCCCCTCGCTCTTTCCTCCACGTTGGATTGTTTTAATTTGTCCTCTCCGCTCCACTGGCTCTTGTTAAACAGCTGCTTCCTACAGAACAGCGCAGAGCTGTTTCTGGCAGGTGTGGCTGTGTGTTGGCCAGACCAAAGCCACACAGCTTTGTCTTTAAGATGCCATAGAGTAACAGTGGAAATGTGTAACAAAGTTCACAGCAGGGATTGAATACGTGATGGTAACATCAGAATCAGGAAACTTCTGTCTGTTCATCGAAGTGAAAGCTAATCGAGTGAATTGCAATGCCTTTCATAATGAATCTGACACTTTCTAAACTGCAGCATTCTTTTTATGGAAACCTACTGTTAGATCTATCTATACGTTTACTGGGAGACAAATGATCCACAATGCTCTCCTCTGTAAACCAAAATGACAAGGGGAATAAAACTGGTAAAAACACAAAAAAAGCAGTTTGAAAAAAAAAAAATGTGTGTTTCTCCGACGCTGCTTAGTGGATGAACAAAGTTCCTGAAGAGCTGCAAGCCAAACTGTTGCTAACGTTAGCTCAGCTTTTTTTTTTATAATTTAAGATTCAAACGCGAACTAAAAATCTTCATCCAGTTCACAGCACCACATTCTGGATATAAAGGTGTGAAAGCTTCTGGCAGAGAACCTGAACGCTATGTACAGGGAGGGAATACAAAACCATTACAGGTGACCATATGAAGCCGTTAAAGACCTTCAATCAAATGATGTTTATTTCTGTTTCTGGGCGAAACATCTAACAAAGTAACATTATAATTCAGAAGTGTTACATTATATATTTAAAAAGGGCACTCGTGTATGATAATGCACAAAATAATAGCTGCTACCATGGCTCAATTTCTTTTATTGAATAAGTCTATTTATAACCTGAGTGCGTGAATTCATAGTGAGTCTTCTAATGTGATCATTAAGAAAAAAACATTTTGAATGCAAGTATGTGTAAAATGACTCTCTTATCTATATATGTGTGTGTCAGGAGTGGGAGTCCGGCCCTGCAGCAGCTCCCGGCCCGCTGGCTCTCGGAGGTTCTGGAGGAAGTTAAATCCAGCGACCCGTCGTCAAAGCTGTGTGCCACACGACGCAGCGCGGGGATACCCTTCTACATCCAGGTGGGTAAACATGGTTTTAAAAGTGTAAGCTTCACAACTGGAGGAAGTATCTGCGCTTTGAAAGTGAACTCACGCTGTGGATTTTGAAGAGGTGCAAGGGGATATAGTTTTTTTGTAAACACTTCAGAACGCTGGAGATGCAGACTCTTGCCAGTGGAAAGCACATTCCTCTGATCCAGTCTCTTCAGAGTAGGAGTGACGGTCACATTGGTTTGCTCACTGTTGGTGAATCTAACCATCTGCACACAGTGATGCTTTGTTGCTGTTTGTGATCTTGTGGTGATGTTTAAGACACACATTTTTTTTCTTAATTTCTTGGTTGCTGCCTTATTTGTTACTACAGTAGGCCTGTGACATTAAAGAGGCTCTATGCATTGTGGGGTTTTCTATTTCCTGCAATGTGTTATAGGTTTGTGTGCATGTAAATGATCTGCAAAGGCTAAAAACCCAATGTTCATGCCAGAGGGGTTTTCTCTCCCACACACTCCCCCCCCCCCCCCCCCCCCCCCCCCCCCCCCCCCCTGCCTGAAACGCCTCCATTGGACTCCTTTGTTTACTCTCGTCACACAGTGACATCACAATATAGCAGTAGCGCCTCTATTGGCTATCGCTAAAACACATTGTACATAATAGGCTATGGGGCGTGACATTTCTGACACATCTCTAGGCAGTTAAACAATCACAACAGAGCTGGCCAGCTAACCAATCAGAGCAGACTGGGCTCTGGTTTCAGACAGAGGGTGAAAAGAGGTGCTGCAGCACACGCAGTATGAGGAAAATAAAGAGCTTTTTGAACACTACAGCATGGAGACATGTCACAATAGACGACTAAATACGAACCTGATAATTAGAAAAATATAGTGTTGCCAGCTTTATGTTTATTATGTTGTCACTGGATTTAGGAGAAATTCTTATCCAGTCTGAACTGTAACATGAGGTCATGCCACCATTGAAATTGTTCAAATGAGATCAAAATGAAGTGAAGGCATGGATTGGAATGTGTTACACGGACATAGTGAGGGTTAGGGTTAATGAAGGAATGTTGGATAGTTCTCAAGTTTAGTAATATAAATACTGTTTGTGTTCCTGTTTACTTCTACAAGAAGTGCAATCAACGGTTCTTGGCATGCCACTGGTGCACTCATCCTGGAAGAACATGGAGTTTCTTAATCCAACTGCCTTCTTTTCTCAGACACACACACACACACACACACACACACACACACACACACACACACACACACACACACACACACACACTTGTGGACACGTCACGCGGTCGTTGCATATTTTACTTTACCTTGGTTAAATGTAATATTACTGTATGCTAGGACTAATGTTAGCCAGCAGTTATTGCTAGCTATAGCACTGAGTCTACATCAGAAATTAAAAAGCAAGACACAAGTAGACAACACTCACACGGTAAAACAAGGAAACACACACACACACACACACACACACACACACACACACACACACACACACACACACTGTCCTTTGCTTGACCCCCTCATAGTAGTCACCAGTCCCGCTCACATCTAACAATGTGCTGTATTCTGTGACTACCTCAACACTCCACTGACTCAGACTGTTGTTCAGCTGCTGCTCCCCCCCCCCCCCCTCCCCTGATTACTGATATTAAAGTAGACGTGAGTTCATGTTTTATAATAGCAGTCATTTCAGAGCTGGGCGGCTCTTTCTAGTGGTTAAAGGTATGATGGCGGCACCGCTGACATCACTGACCCTTCTGCTTAGCCAGATTTGGGTCTTGATTTTGATTTGAAAAGTCTGTACCTGTCTGAAACTTGAAAACTTCAGCAACACGCTTTTCTGGATTATTTCTGAAACATTATGCAATTAATAATCAAGTGTATTGCCAAGTAGGTTCGCTAATTCAAGGAATTTGCTCTGATGTGTAATACATAAACACAGCAAGAGGGATTAAGTTGAAAATAAGAGCAACAATATAACTATTTAAACACAAATACAATAAATAAGTATTACAAATAAATATAAATATAAAACAAGTAAGAAAATATATAAATATCTTCTGTAAATCAGAATTTAAATGGCTGACTTGTTAAAAGTTTCTCTGCTTAATAAAAACCTTAAACATCCCTGTTGTCTAGCTGGAAATATTGCAAAGTCAAAGTAAAGAAGAAGAGTAGTAAAGCAGAACACAGAAAAGTACTCAGATATTGTACTTAAAGGTGGGGTAGGTAAGTTTGAGAAACCGGCTCGAGATACACTTTTTGTTATATTCCATGGAATGCTCTTAACATCCCGATAGCAATGAATATCTTAAGTGCTTTGACAAAAAATCCATAACAAAATGTCATCTGTGGAAGCCGTAATACTGTAAAAAGCACGACCAATCATTTTAGCCGGCCCGGCTTAAATAACTGGATGGCCTACCTGCCTGTCAGCCTTCCATCTGTGCACAAACTTATCTCGTGCCCTCATTGGTCATGTGCGCGTTCGTGTGTGTTGGAGGAGGGGCTCTGTAAGGAAGTGGCAGATTTTTTCCGGTTGTGTATTTTCAAATTCTAGCGATCTCGAGCCGGTTTCTCCAAAATTACCTACCCCACCTTTAAGTAAAAGTAGAAGTACCCAAGTGTAGGAATATTACAAGTAAAAGTCCTGCATTCAAAAGGTTACTCAGGTAAAAGTACAGAAGTATTGGCATCTAAATATACTTAAAGTACCAAAAGTAAAAGTATTCATTGTGCAGATTGGTCCATTTCAGAATAATATATATGATATGTTTTATAATGATTGATCATTAAAGTGTTCTCAAAGCTGGTAAAGGTGCAGCTAGTTTGAATGACTTTGTATACTGCAGGGTAGCTTGTGAGTTTACTCCAGGTGGAACTAAAGTCTGATTTAACACTTGATTATTTTTCACATCATTCATCCACATCTGTAAAGTAACTAAAGGTATTAAATACATGTAGTGGAGTAGAAATTCAAAGCAGCATAAAATGGAAATACTCAATTAAAGTACAAATATCTCAAAATTGTACCTAAGTACAATACTTGAGTAAATGCACTTGGTTACTTCCCACCTCTGGAAAACCCATATGGGGGTTTTAAGAGGGGGGTGAAGGGGGACAGAAGATAACAGGGAGGGAGAGAGGAAAGAGTTTGTGGAGAAGCAGGATTTGAACTTGGCGGAGCGTCGGCTGCATTCCTTCACACAGAGAGACGGAGTGAGATCCGGGAAAGCTGGCTCCCGCTCGCTCACCTTCCTCCACACGAGAGTTCATCAGATCCAGACTGTGCCTCCTCCTGCTCCATCTCCTGCATCCCTCCCAGGCCTAACCATAACCCAGGCCAGACACACAGCTGGCTCCCATCACCCCCCCTCACTGACTCCTCTCACACAGCAGCCAACTGCTGTCACCTTCTCCTGCCACATTCTCAACTCCCAGCCGGCACATCCAGATGATGTCATTCAGGGGAGCCTTTAGCATAAGCAAACTTATGTAATCATATAGTTGTGACTTTATGTTGTAAAATACCACTGTACACTGATGGGCCTGATTCAGTTGAGATTAGAGGTCTACTCTTCCAAGTTAAGAACAAAAGTAAGAAGTAACTTAAAGTATTGAGGCTAATGGGAATACAAATATAAATGAATGGCAAACCATACAGTATATGGTAATAACTGTTAACAAAGGGTATATCACATTATGTAACATTGCTCAAACTGCTTACTGTCATAAAAAGACAATTATATCCTCAAGTAAAACAAAACTTTGAGTTCACGGAATTGTGTAGTTTGGGTTTAATAAAATGGAATGGCACTTAAATCTCAAAATGAATATTTATTCCACTTCAGGCATCATTGGTTGAGGCTGAAGACTTCATCCAAATCTCAGAATTGCATTGTTGGTAAAAGAGCACCAGATTTTGATAAGGAAAGATAATGCAATGATGCTCTGCTTTATTGTTTTGAAAATTCAGGAGTGTTACAAGGTAATTACTGAAAATATTGTGTTTCTTTTTCCCTCTGCAGGCCCTGCTCTCCTCGGAGCCCAAGTTGTCCAGTTGCAGTCTGCTGAAACTGACCATGAGAGAACTGATTGCTCTGGCCATGCCCTCCACCAACAGGACCACCGACAGCTCCACCGTGCCTCAGGTCTGACCCCTTTTGGATTCCTAAAGCTTGTAGTATACTATCCCATCATTCAAGGGTGGTTTTCACTATAAGTAATGTATTTCTTTTGGACGGACACAATCATTTACATTTTTTTAATATGTTCAATCTGAATGTACTTTAAATTAAAAAAAATCTATATTGATTCTGACTCTTCTACATCCAACTCACAGGTTTATCATTGCTTTGAGAAAAAGGATTATTAATGTACCCCTTTTAGAAGTGAAGTTATGGTAATTTGTTCTGGGAATGTCATTTTCGAGCCTGGAAAACAGGCTCGGGGCTTAACAGTTCAACATGTTCTGTAACCAAATAGCATGGAAACAAGATTCAAATGTTAAATCAAGTGGTGCTTTCAAGATGCTGTTGAATATTGGTTAAATGATCCGTTTACCTCTCCACAGGTCCACGCTCTGAACATCCTCAGGGCTCTGTACCGGGACACCCGTCTGGGGGAGAACATCATTCCCTTCGTCTCAGACGGAATGCAGGCTGCTGTTCTGGGCTTCACCTCTCCTGTTTGGGCAGTGAGTTTCCACTTCCAAGTTTAACATTATCACAGAATATCCACTATTACGTCTTTTACATTGGCCCTTTTGCCTGTGTTGAGTCAAATCATGCTGCACTGATTTGTGTTTCCATTATACGTTTTAGCGCGCCAAGTTGTGCTAAGCAGGTTTAGGGACATCTTGCCAGCTTCTGATAAAACCCGCGACGAGCCACCTTCTCACCCGTAGTCAATTATTTTGGCTGATATTCTAAGTGCAATATGATTCAAGATATGTTCTTATTGACTTTTGAAGAGGATCTGTACCAAAGAAATATGTTCAAAAGTCTCTATTTATAGAACACAATATCAAGGCTCTAAAGCCCCACAATACTTCATTCATTATGGTGTTTGAACACATATTTAACCTTTAAGAAATATTAAGCCCATATTGCGATCTCGATAACATTTCATAATTGTCTTAGTTTATATTTTTATAAGAGTAATGTTGAATTACTACCAATAAAAAAAAACTGCATTTTCGTGATATGCTCCTACATTATAAGGTCTTCTAGGTTACAAACAAGGGACTATTTTGAAGAATTGAAATGATATCAATACACTGAATTAGCAGAGCATTTATTTTCTTCAATTAAAGTCCAGTAAGAATTAAAGTCAACAACAACAAGTCTACTTGTTCTGCAGCGAGAAGTCATATGATACAATGCAAATACATACAATTAAGACAAAACATACTAAAAAAACAGAGACAAAACAGATAAAGACACACAAAGAAAATGTGTCATGATCCACCATTTAACAGCCGCTCCTTTGACCATTGGTCACCGCCATGGTTACACCTTGAAGCCGGTAGCCCTGCTGTAATGGAGAGGCCAGCTCATGTTTACAGAGAAGGGGCTTAGACTGGATTCACTTAGCCATTCACACATACACTCTCTCTTCCTGTCTCCTATCCTCCCTTGACTTGTCCCCTTTTGTGTTGCCCAGGTGAGGAACTCCTCCACTCTGCTCTTCAGCACTCTGATCACGAGGATCTTCGGAGTGAAGAAGGGGAAGGACGAGCACTCGAAAAAGAACAGGTCTGCTGCTTCTCCCTCTCTCAAACCGCTCCACCATTACAATGGGATTCTCCCCATGAATACAAACTACATCATAGCCAGTGGTTATCAGACATGTATTTGCAACCAAGGTCAAATAGGCAAAATTAATAGTGCAACAAAAGTTCTTAGCAACAAGAAATGATGATGTGGCCCTTATATAACACAACATATGAAATACCTTGAGGTGATTCCACTTTTATACAGTGTAGTGTAACTTGTGTCAAAGATTAAGTTCCTTTTGTTTTTTTAATGGTGCATTTCAGACCAGTGCTATACATAATCATTAACACACAAGAGGAAATGAAATGGACAAACAGAAAGGTAGACTGTTCACAAAAGAGATATAAGGTTGTTAAAATCGACTTTGTAAATACAGTTGATGCTGTAAGAGTTGCAGAAGTATAATAATCACATTTTAAACGACCTCTGGAAAGCCTTTGGTTAAAGTTTGGTAAGCAAGTCATCTTGAACTGTAAATGAAACTGTCATTTCTTGTCGTTTTAAGAACTAAAATAGTTTAGAAACGCAAGACTGCATAGCAAAAGATGTACATAAATGATATATTTGTGTTTTGCATCAAAAACAAAAAAAGCAACCGTAAATCATTTGAAGCCATGGTAATACAAATTCATGCATTAAAATGGTGGTTGTTTGACCACTGGGGGACACTGTTGTAACACCACTTTGCCCAAATTCACATTTGACTCAAAGCCACTGCTCATGAGTGTCTGTGGAGCTGATCTTCTCCTCTGCTGCTGTAACAACACAAAGGGAGGGACATCTGAGTCACAGGGCAACTTAGTTGAGACACAACAATAGTTGTGCAAATGAGGTTTAAGTGTAGAGGGTTATGAGCTGTTAAGGGTTGTTTGACAAATGTGGTTTGTGTTTTAGATATGTCAAACAACAAACAATTTGACAATTACATTTTTTAATTTTTACAAAACCATGTTTGTTGCCAGGAGCTCAAGAAATTCTTAATGTTGTTAAAAATGTTACATTTTTCCAACATTTCTGTGCATTACCAAATAACTGATATTGAAAAGCCTCTGACATACTCCTTTTTTTTCTTCTTCTAGTGAGCATATGTTTGCATGCTTATACGCAGATGGTGAACATAGTAAACATTCTATGTTCCTCACACTAGTATGTTAGCATGCTGACGTTGACATTCAGCTGGTTTGAGAAAGAGACACACACTCTCAGAGATGCATACATGTTAGGGGTCAAGTTCAGACCATCTAGAAATGTAATGAATGCTATAAAAAAACATAACATTGGTGGTCATTTGTTAAGATGAAACCACTGAAGAACAGTTTTGCCACAGAGTTATTAAAAAATCGAATGGAAAAATTCCATTTGCGAGGGAACTAGAGATATACTAACTTTCAGATCTGCCTACAAAAGCATCCTCCAAGCAGCACTCTATTTGGACATATGAAGATGCAATAGCCCTGTGCACCGTGAGCTTATAGTATAAACATCAGACAAGTTCCATCTTGTATCCAGATCAGCAACAAGCATAATGTACATGTACTATGATAGTTGTAATGAGGTCTATATCGAGCTCAGAGGTGAGTTGTTGAGCAACAGATCATCCTTGGTGAAGTTTCACACGACTCGGACCCTTTTCCAGGAAGTGGTCTGGTTCCCTTTGTTGTGTTTCTATTGGCTGCTGAAGGCCTCTGAATCCTCCTGACCAAGCCAAGGCTGCTGCTGTTTATCTTGTCTGTTTTCACTTGTGTTTTCAGTCTGCTGTGTTTCCCTTTGTGCTGCTGTCAGTTATTTTCACTCTTCTGGCCTGCTCCTCTCTTTATTATAACTTTGGCAGGGTTCGTGAGCTCTGATAAGCAGAGAAAGGGTTTGCAACCGTGCCCTTGTAGCATGTTTGTTGTCATGGCAGTAAATGTTATTGTTTCGTCCTGGAATACAGAAGTGTGCGTGCAGGAGCCACGAAGCTGCAACTCATTCTTAATCGTGGACGTCTGTCTTTTCCTTCGGCTATAATTCTGGTTTCTGCCATTACCATGATTTTACGGTTGTGATGTCCAGCAGCAGAAAACGCTTTGTGACAGCTTGTCCACTCGAATACATGGCCGTGTGTTCATAAGAAGCCTTTATGGAGCATGAATAGTTCCCTTATGCACAAACTAGTTGATTTGCAGCAGTTAGTGCATCTGGGAAGTCTTGCTGTCTGTGGGAGTATTTTACAAACAAACAATATGCCTGGAATCATGTAACTATGTAACATAGTTACATGATTCCAGGCATATTGTTCGCTGTTGGATTATCGTTCCACTCAGCTCAGACTCCTCCGCTCCATCACGGTGCATCCATGTTGATCTGATATCGTTTATGAGATAAATGTAACTGTAAACAAAGCTGACCGAGCGAGGATTGCTCTCTGCATTCCGACTTCCAAGCTGTATCTTCCTCCTGCTTCAACTCCTCACTTTGCACTATTGTACATGCAAACATCTCCATATTTATATGACCTTGGTGTTTTGAATACAAATAGAATGGGAAAGCTACACTCTCAGAACTTATAAAGATTGCATTTAAGAACTCTAAGTCAAGGCTAAAATAATCAAATCCAAGTCGAGTGTTGGGCTCTCCCGTTCTCCTTCTTAGTAACTTAAGCAATCATACCGATACAGCACTCTTTAGAAGTCAAAGTCCTACAGAAAGTCAAAGTAGTATCATCAAACGGTGGTGATAAAGGAACACATGTTTAAGTAGAGCAAAGGGATGTCTGTCTTTGATAAATCAATGTATACATTCATAAAATCTTTATACTGATGAATCATGAGCTATTTTTAACCCCACCTTACTTTAGGTTTAGTAGTTTGGTTCATAATTGAAATTGGGCTAACAGTACACAGCAAATGAAGAGTGTATTCTGCTTTTGGACTCTTATTTATTGTGAAATATTAGATTGTTGTACCTCTTTGGTGTCTTGAAGTTATTTAAAACCATCTGAGACGGGGGGAATGTATTACTTTCATTATGATATGTTTGGATTCTGAAAGAAACTGCACACTAATCTCCAACACACTTGTTGTGCCATTTGCCTTAAAGCTAATACAGCCACAGCTGTGAGCCCACAAACATGAGCAGGCCTTTCCCCTCTGCTCTGTCCTGCTCTGTGACCCTCACCCCTTTTACCCCCATCTAATCTGCTCCAACACGACCTCTGACCTTTGTCCTCCAGGCAGCAGAGTCTCAGAGTCCCCCCCCCCACCCTCAGAGGAGGGTGGGGGGGGGGGGGGGGGAGCACACACAATGTTGTGTCCTGTATTTGTTCCCATATGCAGTGTAAATCTGCAGGTATCCAGTGGTGGGATGTCATTTACTGAAGTATTGCACAATTTTGAGGTACTTTAACTCAGTATTTTCATTTTATGCTACTTCATTCTTCTGCTCCCCTACAATATAGAAGCCAATATTGTACTTTTTACTCCACTACTTTTATCTGACAGCTTTAGTTACTTTAAAGAATGAGATTATTAGCTAACGCAAAATATGAATCAACGAATAAATAAATAATTATTTATAATTATAGGCTGAAATATCTAGCATATATTATCCAATAATTTCATAAATATAATTCCAAAATGGGCCTGTACACTTAACAAGTACTTTTCATTTTGGTACTTTAGTCAATTTTTTTATTTATTATGTGGATGGAAAATATGACCTACATTTTTTTATTAAAACACCTACATTCACACATAGAGCCTACATTTAAAAATAATAATATAAGAAACTGCCTGAATAATTATTAAACCCACAAGAAAATATGAATGCAGGACTTGTGCATGCGTTCGTGCGTGCGTGCGTTCGTGCGTGCGTGCGTTCGTGCGTGCGTGCGTTCGTGCGTGCGTGCGTGCGCTCCCGGCCTGAGATCATGTGCTCAGCAGACCAGAGCTCTTCCCTTTAGCAACGGCTGGATTTAGACGCGCAGAGTTAAATAAAAACATTTTATTGGCCCTGAGGCTGAATGGCGGTTGCCGCAGTGAGACCGCCAGCGTTAAATATAAAGTTTGTCAATTTATCTACAGTTGTGTGAGAGAATACATACATAAGCACACGGTAACACACGGCGTAGCATATGTACATACACACAGTTTATTTCTGGCTGTATTTCAGGGTAAGCAAACATAAAGGCTGGATGTGTTTAGGTAGAGTTTTTGGCACAAGAAAACGCCTTATCAGCAGCAACCCCCCCCTCTGCTGCTTCTCCTTATGTCACTTTTTTGGACAGAGTATTCGAAACATATGAATTCAATCACAACTAATGAGGTAATTGAATGAACTGTAATTGAAGTTGGATCAACCACCAGTACTCCTGATTAATTCGACTCTCTGACATTGATTCATGTTATCAATTAGTTTTACGCTGCAGAGATGTGTTGCTTTTTGATACAGTGGACTTCAGGCTGTGTTCGAATACTATGCCTGTGTTTTAATAACAATATATGACTTTATTGTCATACAATATAATAGTTAATGAAAATCTTAAATCCCATTCTCCTCCAACAGTGGACAATAAAGGAAAAGCATAAAAGAAATAAGGAAGTAGAATTAGTGCAATAAAAAACATGAAAACAATGACATTTTCCTCGATATAAGCCCTCCTGCTCCCCATTTCAAACCTGACTCCATTTATCTTGTCATTATCAATTTTCAATCCGTTTTTTTTTCAACCGGGAAAATATGCAAAAATCAGGATAAATAATGATTGTGTTACAGTATGATGTTAAGCGTTACATTTGTCCCATCTCGACTCCTGCTATGCCCCTTTTCACTCGTCTTAGCCAAACTGCCCTGGCCCATGTTTGACTAGTAAACATTATTTATTTTCTTTAGACTTGCTGGAGGCCAATAAAGTTCAGTATTGAGCTGAACATGCTTCACTATGTAATCACTTACTTAGTGAGGCACTCCATTGCCAAGCTCCTGCCTACATGTTTGAGCGTATGATCCCTAATACAACCGGCCGGACACTTCCAACAAAAAAACAACAACTGTTGGCTACTCGTGTACCAAACGAGATCCCTCTATCACGTTAGATGTTCCTATTCTGTTGAAGGTTTCAGAAGACATCCATACAAAACAGTTTTTTTTTCTATCATTTGTTATACGGGGGATAACTAGCTGCTTCATCCTCACTGCGTTGGTGTACAGTGGAAGTGTTTCTGAATACATTTCTCATTATTGTTTTTTGTGTGATTGTTCTGTACATCAAGATGGCCAACGGTCAGTAAACATCCTTAATATATTATATTTCACCTTACAACATCGACTATAGTGGGAGTTCTACAAGCCTTAAAAACAGAGCTTCTGGGCTTTAGTGGTGAGAATCCTTGTTTTTGAAAGTATACATATAATGGCTCTTCTATTATTACTGTTTAACAAATGTATATTTCCCTTCAGGATGACGGGCCGGGAGTTCTTCACTCGCTTTCCCGCTCTCTATCCCTTCCTGCTGACCCAGCTGGAGGCGGCTGCCGGCACGGTGGAGAGGTGAGGTGGTCCTCCTCTTTAATCCACACACATGCAGCCCCTTGCTATGGCTTTTCACACTCCCCTGATCCCATTATAGCTTTCATTTGACTTGCACTTAAGCCATACTCGGAAGCGTTCTTTTTGTTTTCTGAAGCTGATTAAGCAGCGATGTTTTTTTCTTGTTGGACTAACAAGTGGGTGCAACTTTTCCATCAGTCTTAATGCTAGATTATGGAAACATGAACTCTGAACTCTTAAGCTATTTTCTCTAATCAAGCAATATTGCCCTAGATTAGGTTCTTGTGTGGGCTTCTCTTTCTCAAGATATCATTTGCACACCAAGACTTTACAAGCAAATAAAGTAAATGTCTTGTCGAGATTTAGTTTTTGCAGTGGGGAGGTTCATTGGCCTTATCTTTGTCAGCCTGAACTCCCTCTTTAAAAGCATCGCAGCCTTCCAACAGCTCCCCAGACGGCCTTATCTTAATATGGATCCAATTAATTGACCAGCTCTTTCACAATTCCCCTAACTCCATTCCGACCCTTGTTAAAACATTCGCAAATTTCCCACGGAACCAGATCCCGGTTGTCTGACTTCCCACATCAGCCACCCAAACACAGCGACCGCACCATGAAGCAATACCCAGCAGGACACAGACACAGAGCTGCTGTTAGTGGCTTCAGAGTCCTATGGAGCACAAGTGCATTTTCAAAATAGGTCACAATTCACGAAAGATTACAGAAATGAGATCATGAAGCAGAAAGAGGACTAAGTGTAGACATCATTATTCATTATGTACTATGTAATCCATCTTTCCTCCATGTTCTCCCCAAACAAATACATGTCGGTTAAGAATAAAATCTTGTGTTTAGAGATAGCATTAAAACCCAAACGGCAACAAAAGTCCCCAAAAGATGCCGGTTATGTTCATGATAGGCATACTTGTACACACATACACTACGTACTTTTAAGTGAATAACTCAGTTTGAAGTTCTTTATGCAAGATGATAATGAGGAAGCAATTCACTAAAGTAACACAAGAATGCTCACATACATTTTCTTGACATAAAACCATTCGATTGTTTTTACTAGACCCTTTTTTCCCTGGACAAAATTAGCTCACCAACACCCACTCACAATTGGTTTCTCTCTTCAATAATAAAGGTTAGAATTGACAGTAATTTCCAGAAAATGATGGACAATAGTCAAAGGTATTTATTAGCTCCAGCTCAATGAACATGAATGGAAACATGACACCCAGGTGGACACAGTCATACATATATAAATGAGATCTGGACAAAGTTATTTATGCACAAAACATGCATTTAATATTCTCTTATCGAAGCCACCAGGCTCCATTCAAAGAATCAGTAATACAACCTTTACAAGCTCAACAGGAACACAACTCTTTCTTTCTTCTGTTTAAACAAGGAGTTTGGTCAAGGAGAATATTGTCTTTGTTAATGTGTATTTTGGGTCTTTATTTATGATTTCAATCCAATTTGCCCTTCAGGGATTAATAAAGTTAATCCTAGTCTTAAAGAAACTGTTATATGCTTAAATTTTAAGGCCCGGACACACCAAGCCGATTTTGTCCGTCGATGAGCGTCGACACGCCCTACTCAGATTGGTGTGTCCCGCACCGTCGTGTCTTTTCAGCCGTGCCGACGCCTTTTCAGCCGAAAAAGGCGGCAAAAGAAATCACTCTGATTGGCTGTTCAGCTAGCGAATCAGTGCATGAGAAGCGAAACGGAAGTGAGGGACCCAAACAAACTATTAAGAAGGCAAATCTGAGATTTCCTTTAACTCCAGCTCTCGACACAGGTTGGGGAAAGCCCCATGAGCTTCTCGCTGTAGAGTGAAAATGGAACGCACACGCTATTTGTTGTTTGTTTATATCACGCAGTCTGTTCTTCTTCTCTCGGTGTATCACACAGTCTGTTTTCCGGTTGTTGCCTCTTTTGAATGACGAATACACACTACCGCCGCCTGCTGGTAAGGAGAGTTATTGCCACTCACACATGCGCAGTTCGTACGTGCTACTTGGCCGTCGGCTGAAGTCTTTGCGGTGTGTTCCAGTGCGAAACATGGCCAAGACGCAGGAGACGTGAGGCGACACAACAGTCGGGGTCCGTCTGTGTCCGTTCTTTGGTGTCAGCTTGGTGTGTCCGGGCCTTTAGCCACCAGACTATGACAGACTATGACAGAAAGTCATTTTACTGGCAATAATAATGCCATACCTGATCATTGCAAGACATGATAACTCTCCTAATTCTTTGTAAGTTTAAGTGGCAAAAGATCTAACATCTCCTTCCTATGTTTCTACCAGTATAAGTTCTGATTGATCTTCTTGCCCCTGCATTAGTGGCTGGAACTTTTGAGACAAGCCGAGTGTGTCTTTTGTCATTGTTGGGATTTTGGTAACTTGATCAAACTCCATTCTGTGGCCACGATGGGAAGTCCTCCAATCGCACCGTGTTAACTTGTATATCCACCTGCTTTTATATTTGGCCGCTATTTCCAAACACCAAATGAAGATGTAACCTCAATATGCTGCATCTCCTAGCATAGAGCTAAGGAGACTTTCCCTTTAGTATATTCCCAATGGCTTTACCTCAGTGTAGCACGCAAACCTGATTTATATCTGAAACTATTGCAGGTCAGTTCCCACATTTTAAAGTGATGGGCAGTGATTTGTTGAACTACAAACAGTCTTATCTGCCACTGCTTTTACTTCCAAAGAAAACCGTTTTCAAATCATACTCCAAGTACTTTCCCCTAATTTTTTAAACAAAACTGCTGATTTATCTGTCTAAAGCTTTAGTTTACTTTGGAACTTCTTTTGAGTCTCTGCTACTGTGTCCTGTTCTTTACGTTCCAAACGAAGAATAAAACCACCTAAGGTCAGTGTTCTGTTTCCACTCTCTTTAAAAGAAGTCAAACAAAAATAACCATTCATCAAACACCCGGGTACTAGAGATGATTGAGGACTTTAGGGAGAGAGGGCAGACATTAATAGATGAGCTCAGAGAAATTAAATGCCACAGACTCTCTCTCTCTCTCACGTAACATCAATGTCCCTGCCTCCAGCTGTATCCCAACAAGGCATAATATGTTTGCAATACTCCTCTCTATCCAACCCCCACCACAGCTCTGACATCACATCCTGTCTGTGACCCTAAACAAATTAGACCACTTACTAATTGGTCTGCTATTATCTTTCCCATCTTGCCGATCCACGTCAGTCCCAGCGGATGGTTCTGTGTGTGTGTGCTGTTGAATGAAGTAATGAAAAGCACAAGTTGTTTTTGCAGGGGGTCCGTTGTTCTGTCTCGCTCTAAGAGATCCTCATGACTAATGACAGAGCCCGGAGGACATATCGCTCTGCTGACACACACACACACACACACACACACACACACACACACACACACACACACACACACACACACACACACACACACACACACACTCATAAAAGCAGACCTTCCATACTTGCAGACCTGCAAAACTGCAGGCGCTTCCTTCAATGTAAACATAGTTTCCCCATGATGTTCCGCTGTTTTAAGCAAGCAGCAATCTTTGGTTATATAAAGTGAAGCCTTGTGGGGCCTCAAACCTGCTTTCTTCCTAATGGCCAGCAGGGGTGACTACTTGTTGCCGAAAGAAGCCCAATTTTATAGAAGTCAGCGAGAAAATGACAATTCTCACTTGATTTATTACCTCGGTAAACATTAGCTAGTTTGAATTATTCTCCATTACATATACACAAGCATCAATTTCCTGTTCTATACAGTAAGTAAAGCCAGTGCAGAACATGCTTTCTTTCAAATGGCCAGCAGACCCACCAGTTGCGAAAAGAAGTGTGATTTTATAGAAGTCTATGAGAAAATGAACCTACTTATAACTTAATTTATTACCTTAGTAAACATTATCGTGTTTCAAGTCTTCTTCAATACAGCATGATGTTCATTTTGTAAATCAAGGTCACATTTAGTTAGAAAATAAAGCATGACATTCTTTTGGGCGGGGCTACCTTATGATTGACAGCTGGCTACCACAGTGTCCCGCTGTGGTGTTGTCTGTGTTTCCCTCCTAAAGATGAACACTTCTACAGTACAGTAAAAATGATTGCAACATTTTGGTCGCACTAAAATGTCCTGTTTGGTTATACTTGCACCCTCGTCATTTCAAAAAACAAAGTGGAAACAGCCAATTTACAAAACTGAAAGCTCCAAATCCGTAATCCATGAACCATTTACTGGCATCACAGGACTAGGTCTGCTTCTTACCATTTTCGATTATAAAATGATAAAGAAGAAGAAGATATACTTTATGAATCCCTTACAGGGACATTTCTTTCCCCACTTGTGTTTACACACATTACACACACAGGGGAGGATATACATGCACAAACACAGAGGATATATACATGCACACACGCAACCACATGCAGATAGGAGAGGTGGCAGAGCAGAGAGGGTGCCCGGCGCCAAGGAAGCAGATTCGAGGTTAGGTGCCTTGCTCAAGGGCACCTCGGCAGTGGCCTTGGAGGTGAGCTGGCACCTCTCCAGGTACCAGCTGACTCCATTTTTTTTTTTTTGTCCGATCGTGACGTGACCCTACGGTTCCAAGACCAAGTCCCTACAGACTGAGCCACTGCCGCCCACAGTCTTAAAGTAATGCTGTTAATTCAAAAAATGTTTGAAGATAACCAAGATAAAGTAAACAATCTTACTCCAGGATAATAAAACTCACTGAGCCTTTGGGGAGTTGATTCCCGCTTTATTTATCCCACAAACAGCTGGACTCTTAAACCAGAACATGAAGTAAAACAACTGTTCTGAAGGCAAAGCATGGCCCTTCTCCATTTTAGATACTTGATATTCAAACAGTAATTTTCCTTACTTTGTAGTGTAATTGGACTTCTTGTCTGTTTCTCAATCTCTCTCCCTTCTTGCTCCACTGCGAGTGTTTCAGAGTGAAACTGTGAAACCGCTGGCAGACACAGACAGTTTCCATTCTGACTCAGTTGGCAGGGATGAGATTTGGATGGAGGAAAAAGAGGGAAGTATAAAAGCTCAGCTCAGGGACTGATGAGGAGATAACTTTATTATAATGTGGGTGGTTTAGGGGAATTCCTCCCTGTTATATGTGGGATTGAAACGTTGAATGTATGTGATCCCTATGGAAAATACACTCTCTTTCAATCTGAGAATTAATCCAAAAACCTTTCTCTTCCCAGTTGTTTATAACAGCTATTTTGTTGTTTATCTAAATATCACATACTATACAATTTGTCAATTATCAGATGAATGTATCCGAGCAAATTTACTCAAGTGATGTAATCAAATACTAATCCAAGTAACTTCTAATTAACTTGAATATTTTCTTTAAATGCTACTTTGAAATAAACTAAAAGCTGTATAATAAGCCAATGCTGACATATAGAGACTGCAAACCATCTTAAAAACAATATTGTATTCCTCATCTGCCAGGAACGATGAACTCTCCATAGCTGAGGGTACTTGTCAGTATTGAGATTTAGCATTAGCATAGTGGACGTTTGGATAGTGTGCAGTTTTTGGATGCAAGCAAGAGCTTTCTTCCACTATCAATCAAAAGATATATTGTAAGGCTGTGTCACCCACTGCCAGTTTCAAGTTAACAAGCTAACAAACAACATAAACAAACGGAGGCATACTACACCTAACAATCTCAAATGTTTGCTAGTTGATGGTTTTGGTATTCGACATACTCCTCTCAGAATCAAACATGTATGGCTGGATCTCTCCCATGTATCCTTAAATGGAGAAAAAGGACCAGATGCTAAACCTCATTTTTCCAGAGCTGCGTTAGATTTACGCTGACATCTGTATGTTTTGTATTTTATCATGTCTCACCTCGCCTCTATCTATGACTGCAGGTTTTGCACCCCGCTCTTTTAAGGTCATATTAATGTTGCACTCAGAAACCCTGACTGTGTGTGTTTGTGTGTGTTTAGTGACAGCGGTCAGGTGAAGCTTCACCCCAGTCTGTTCCTGCTGCTGCTGGTGCTCAGCCGACTCTACCCCTCTCCCATGGATGGATCTTCTTCACCTCTGGGACTCGCTCCGTTCATGCCCTTCATCATCAGGTCCGTGCTACACACACACACACACACACACAAAATATTATCTTTTTTTTTTTTCTGATCCCCGTTATTCCAAATTATTTGTATTAAAATAATTTCATAACCTGTAGTTTATTTACACCTGAAGGTTAGCATTAGTATTTCATATTCCATAGCTGTAACCTAAACATATTCAAGTGATTTTACAATGAGTTCTACTAAAAAACATAGTACTTCCTCCGAAACTGACAGAAAGTCCACACTGTGACATGTTTAGCTCACTACTGCATATTGCTCTTGTTCTTCTCCTTTGGCGTGTTTATTAACGGATCAAAATAAAGCTTTAAAGGTGCTTACCACCTTCAATGCTCTTGGAGATAATGTGAGCAGTCCGATATGTATCATGCATCCAACTCCTAGTTACCTGTGCAGCGACTCTTCTCCATGAGCAGCAGTATTACAATGAGTGTAAAGCGCTCTCTCCAGCAGAGCTCACCTCCCTTGTGTAATCACTATCAACAAGAAAGTATTTCCAATCAGCTGGAACACTCGTAGAGGTTAGAAAGATACATTAGCGTGTGGACTCTTATCAAATCCAAGAGGGTCACGCACCTGCTCTCTCAGCCATGAAAAACCTCTCAAACATTTCTCTGAACCACAACTACTCCTAAGTATAGAACAATCAGCAAGACAAAACACCTGCAGTCTAAACTCTCTAGGTGTGTGTGTTTGTTGATGTTGTTTTCACAGGTGCATCTTTGTGAACTTGTGTCTTACATAATTTCATTGCTGTTATTTACCACACATTCAGCCGAACCAAAAACCCTGTCCATGAGGCCATAGAGGTAATTAGCTAAAAAATAAGAAACATTTTGTCTGATTTTAGATATCTGCACACCAAGACAAACCACCAGAAAGTTGCTGTTTTGTTGCTTGTTCTGTCTCGTGTGTCAGCGGTTGATTAGATTGTAACCGTTTTATCGTAACTTCCCTCGCTTTTCACTGGGGAGTGAAGCTAACAGGCGAATGGGAAACTGTGGTTATAGCCTGCATTTGTTACGTTACCGAGTTGGAGAGCGCTACAAATGTTATTAGTACAAGTTCATCTACTGCACCTGCAGATTGTGCCTCCTACATTTATCGTATTACTCTTTGACCTACTCTTTTAGACCTATTGCATTTCCATCAGCACACCTTGCCTTAAGTAACCATTTATCTTTATTGTTACCTTAAACTAATGGCGCTTTTCCACTGCAGGACCTAGCACGGCGTAGTACGGTGTAGTTAGGCCTTGGTAGGCCAGGCTCACTTTATGCTGCCTTTCCATTACAGTTTAGGAACTGGGGTAGTAACTATAGTAACGCAGTGTAGACGGAGCCGTGACGTCATCTTCAATGCGAACCACAGAAAACCAACATCAGCCGTTAGCTGTTAGCACTCGGAGCTCACAGCTCCTCATATCTGTTCAGAAACTAGACAAAAGTTAAACAAGTACAAACCACAGACTGTCTGTGTCATGGCGAATACAGTCGCTGCTTTATTTATGTCTGTAGGCCGTTGTTGTGAGTGTGGACGGACGGAGCATATACAACGTTAGCTTAGCCTGATCGATCCGATCTCCATTCAGAAAACACGCATTTTAAAAGGTTTTTCGCCTGCCGTCTTGTCTGCAGACCGGTATCAGTATGTTGTTACTTCGGCATCATTTTGAAACGTGTATTACAAATTACAAACGTGTAAAATATGTGCATTTTGTTGTAGTTGTAGCCCCCTTGCCAGCGATTCTCTCCATTCAGCAGTCGGGAGTGTTTACGTCACTAGTTTAGCATATTCAGCCCGGTTGTTGGCCCGGTAAGAACCTCGATTTTGGAGGGCCAGAAAAAAGGTGAAAAGGTAGCCCTGAGCCGGAACTAGCCCTAGTGGAAAAGCAAATGAAAGTGGGCCGGGTTTGGCCTGCTAAACCATGCTACGTGCTGCAGTGGAAAAGTGCCATAAGTCCTTCATCTACAGCTCTGAAATATGAATTAAAGTATTTCCGAGTTGGTCTTCTATTTCAAAAACTTAAATTGTAAAACCTATAAGTGCTTTGTGTATATGAATGAAACCATGGTAGTCTAAACGGTGAGGCGAAAACACTTTCCCACAGCTGATTATGTTTTGTGGATGGAAATTGGTAACTGGGAACGATCATTTCAAGGTTCATTTATTGTCATTGTACAACAAAACAGTTACAACATGAGATACAGTTGTAGCCCTCCACTATGCTACATAAGAAAAGCCAAAGAAAAACAAAAAGAAACATATTTTATGGTGGAGTGTGGAGGACATCACACACATGCAGCATTTTTGTAGCTGCCAGGAATGTTGGTGATTTACTGCACATGTTACGCTCCGGGCTCTCAGGTGAACCCTAACCCTCTCAAAAGATATCAGCGAAAACACCCTTCCCAAAAATATAAAATATATAGCTCTATGTGTCCAGACAAGTTTTCACATGGTGAAATATTACCGCTTACTTTCTTTAGGTTCAAGTAAGGCTATGATGATAAGAGTTATTACAGCTGTAAGTCAGAGTTGTGTGTTTGTGTCACTGAGTGTGTGTTTGGAGGAGATGAGGGTGAGGTTAAGACCTTGAGGTAAGAATGCTCTGTTGACGGTTTTGATAACAGCACTTGTGGGTATTTGTTCATCCGTGTTGTCTGCTGCTCCATCACAGCTGACTGAACTTATTAGATTCAGCTCCTTAGCTGTTTATACACAATGATTGTTTCTCAAGAGGTTTTCATCCACTGGAGCAGCACTGCTCTAGGGATTGTGTTATCAGCCGTGGTCCAGACTCAACAACTACTTGATGTATTTCCATGATGTTTTACAGAACTTCCTGGAACCCAGAGAATAATGAACTTTGGGAATCTATGCCACCATGAGGTTGTGTTTTGGGATTTTGGGATATCTTAATATGAATGGGTACTACTGGGTTCATGCTCAACACCCCAGGATGAATTGTAGTAATTTTGACTTGAATAGATCTGCACCCTGTAAACACGGATTCTAGAGCTACTCTGAAGTTAATATGAGGCTTCTGCTGTATGTCACCCCTAGATTCCACCGGGTCCGTCTGCGTCGCGTTACGGTCACGTTACGGTCGCGTTACGGCTTAGCCGCGGCGTTCGCAAAGGTCGCGGCCACTCTAGTCAATGGGTGCTATTCCACCAGACGCGCCGCGTTACGTCTCAGAAGCGTCCCAGAAGCGTCTCGGCGCAGGGCTCCGCTCAAAATAGGATTCAAGTCTATTTTTCGACGCGACGCAAGGCGTTGCAGAGGCGCCGGGCAGGAAGTGGACCGGTCAGAGCATCCGGCCCATCCCCAAAATAAATTAATTTTGCAGACCCTATCCCTCCGTAGTCTTTCAAGTAGGAGGAGAAATGCCAGCGTTCTCCTCCGGTTTACAGGCACTGTGTAAATTATATATATATAGAATAATTATGATGATGAATGCATTTTTTTTTTACCACTAAAATACAGCAACACATCTTTGATTCATGTTGTTTATAACTGGAATATTACAGTTATTATTAACTTTGTCTGTACAAAGTAGCCTGTCCAGGAAATATGCCCAAATCAACAAAACTGCGAGCCCGGTAGGGTATGACACCGGAGGAGGCCGGACCAAAACGCAGACGCAGACGGACCCGGTGGAATCGAAAAAAATGTACAGTCTTTTTATCAGAAATTGCTTCTCCATGTTACAATCCCAACAACTACTGTAGCTCGTCCAAGGAAACCCAGAGGAGATTTTAAACAAAATATAACCGTAACTTTCGAGGAATCCACCTGAACAAACAAACTCAGTCTGTTTGAATCTCAAGCATCAGATAAGCTTTGATATTTATTGTGGCAAGGTCTTTGGGTTTTTTGTCCCCCATCAATCTAATGCGTGGATATTAGCAACTAAATCTGTATAAACAGTCCAATATATCCCAGTAGACAAGTAGACAAGTAGACAAGTAGACAAGTAGACCAAGGCTCATCATCAGGGCTAATACATCCATGTATATGATGCTACTTATTTGAAGTGTTTTATGCCTTAATGATGACTTGGGCTAGACAGCTCCACTGTCAGTGAGACACCAAATGGTCATCCTGTTTGCCTCAATGCATGCTGGTCAGACGGTGACAAATGGAGAGTGAAGTGGGATAACAAAGGGGCTATAAACATGAACCATTTGCAACGTTTCCTCAAGAACCCGTAAACTCTTAGAAATCAGCTCCTCCAAGTTACTGATGGTCTCGTTCACCAGACTCTTTATTTGAAATAATCAGTCGTTAAGTGAAGTCTTTAACTGGTGGATAGCTTGAGTGCTGACTTGCTGGCAGACGCTTCCTGTCAGAGAAGGTATGCTGAGCACACATCCACCCAAATGAAGCCCACATGTTGAAAATGTTAAATATAGCCACGCAGTAACTTCTTTGGCTCCAGCCGGGTTTCTCTTCACCATCCCCCCCCAACTCATCTTCCCGAGGCGTGTTGGGACGTGTCTGACGAGGTCGGCGACTGTCACCCCCCCCCCCCCCCCCCGTCTTCTTCTTCTACCTCCCTCTCCTCAAATGATCTGACCCGCCACCTCCAAGGATCAGATGTTGCTTCTCTTCTGTTGACAGGTCTGAGCATCACGTCTCGTAATCCTCCCCCTATACCTTTCCATCACACGGCATCCTTATATCCTCCAAACACCCCCGCAAGATTGTTGACATATCTGCGCTGCGTGGCCTCTGCATGCGTCACACCTGCCTGGGTAATAACGAAGAGCTGAAGATGACGAAAAAGAGGGGGGAGTGTTCTCTCTTTGCCCTTAATCTAAAGCATCTGAGAGTGCTGAGATAAGAGATTGATGTCCTGTGATATCCAGTCCAGGCATCTCCCCTCACCTAACCTGCCTCACTCCCTTTCTTTCCTTTCTTGTCTTCACTGAGTCGTAACTCATTTTCTTGGTCAAGGTTATGCCCATAAACCAAAGAAAGGCTTCAAAAGTCTACTTTCCAACAAAGATTCAGTTCATTTTACCTCACAAACCCTGCCGTCTCTTTGGTTCCGTTTGTCATCAGGATTACAACTCGCAGAATTTTAAAACGATTTGATGAAAGGCCAAATTAGAGCCTATACAAGTTAGTATTAGAATCCTGATCACGGGGCGGACACACGCATTTGTTTGTATCTTTTGGAAACAGCCTTGGCAGATGTCGGCGCTCTCTGGATGCTCTTTTCGTTGCTCTTTTCGTTGCTGAACTTTTGTATTCCCCGATCAAATTTCTAAATGTTAACTGATACTGTACCTTGTGTTGCATTCTGGGTCATTCTAAAAGAAGATACTTATTAGAATATACTTTTTTTGTAATAGGGTCTAAGGTATGGTCGTCCTAAAGTTGTATTTATGTTCTATTGAACATATCTATCTACAAGAACAAGTTAAGACCTAAAACCAGCAACTTGCAAGCATTTTTAAAGTATTGTTATTCATGCTTTTATATTCACTCCTAACTACCCAAGGATCTACTGTATACATCTTTCAAAAGTAGTTAAATATACAAATAATTCAATCTGTTGAAAAAGGTTTTTAATACAAGCGTTACTATCAGATCTTTTTTCTGATACAATAAGTCAAATACTCGTTCAACATTTCTTGATAGATTCCTTGGTAAAGCCATTTTACGAACACAAATACCAAATGTTCCTCATTCTACAGTTTCTCGAACATGAGCAATTTCTTCAGTTTTTTTAAACCATTTCAGCCTAAAAACCTTTAAGCAATTTAAAGACCTCACCCTTGCTTTGCAAAATTCCTGATGTTTTACTGTCATGATTGATACATTTAATTTTTTTTTAAAGAGATAAATCCATAATGAACAGAATCAAAGAGTGCTGGAGCATTGCCATATTTTTTTAGCTCAACCCGTGAGTTAGCGTAGCAGTCTCATTTAGCCAATTGTTAGCAACCGCTTTTTTAAGACGCGTTAAAGATTCAAGACGCATGTATGGGGTATATATAACTCGCATACAGTATGTTGTCTGGTTAAATGCTAATTTATGGACATTTCCAATAGTATCTTATTAATACTGCCACTGGGGGCACCAAGGACATTTTCAAATACTCCACACGGTAGATTGACTAAAAATGAAACAATTAAAATGTCAAACAAAGTAAAGAACGGTTGTCTTCAGCAACATCATTTCCATGCAAAATAAGACAAATCATCCTAATTATGTCACCACTTCCTTTCCTAACATTCTTCAGTGACAGACATGCTGTTTTGTGTTGTTTCATCAGCATGCTACAGTGTCTGTGGTGCAAATGACTCTCTCAGTTCTCCAAAATGAGCCCCAGATGAGTCTCGTCCAATGCCAGTCCAACAGTCTGTGACCCCACAGGAGACAGCCCTGTTGCTAAAATTACACCCTTCCAAACTGTCATTTCCTTTTGCTAAAGTGTTTCAATGGGACACATTAGCGCAGATAGTTAGCATATGGGCCTGGGAGGGGTGGAAAGTGGAGAATGGACAGAATTTGGTCATTAAACCCATTCTGTAGTGTGTGTGTGTGTGTGTGTGTGTGTGTGTGTGTGTGTGTGTGTGTGTGTGTGTGTGTGTGTGTGTGTGTGTGTGTGTGTGTGGTGTGTGTGTGTGTGTGTGTGTGTGTGTGTGTGTGTGTGGTGTGTGTGTGTGTGTGTGTGTGTGTGTGTGTGTGTGTGTGTGTGTGTGTGTGTGTGTGTGTGGTGTGTGTGTGTGTGTGTGTGTGTGTGTGTGTGTGTGTGTGTGTGTGTGTGTGTGTGTGTGTGTGTGTGTGTGTGTGTGTGTGTGTGTGTGTGTGTGTGTGTGTGTGTGTGTGTGTGTGCTGTGTGTGTGTGTGTGTGTGTGTGTGTGTGTGTGTGGTGGTGTGTGGGTGTGTGTGTGTGTGTGTGTGTGTGTGTGTGTGTGGTGTGTGGTGTGTGTGTGTGTGCGTGCGTGCGTGCGTGTCAGGCATATCATTTACAGGCGTGTAGAGCTCAGGATTGCAAACTGCTGTCTGTCTTTGATTTCTTGTGTGTGTGGCTTGCTCACAGCAGGTGGAAAAGCATTTGTTGACTTGTTGCTTCAAACAGTCCTTTCTTTGTTGAACCTCTTTTATTTTCCCTCGTCTTTTACATTAACAGTGGTTTGTTTTTTTGGAGAAATTATTTTACAGATAATTAAAAGCTTGTCATTATTAGCTGCAGTAAGTTTTGACTTGTTTCTCGCCCTCATGAAGAATGTACATAGCTCTATTTGTGTATCTTTTTTACATCTGCATACATTTAGGATTTCAGGCAATGTTCTTTTGTGCCAAATACAGCTTCAAGGCCCCTCCACACAAGCATAATCTTGGACATATACAGCTCCAGAAAAAAATTAAGACACCGCTGCAAAATGATCAGTTTATCTGTACTTACTATTTATTGGTATAAGTCAAGTGATTAACAAGAAGCCCTAAAACCAAGCTGCGTTGTTTACATTTTTGTCACCCAACAGCTATGTGACCACCAATATCTAAGTTTTAACTTCCTAAGTAAAAACATTAGTATTGGTGCCTTACAATGTATATGAACCACTTTTTGTGGTTTCTGACCTGTTGTCATTTAGAGAATATATTGACAGAAAATGTATATATATTTTTTATTTAGGAGAAATTTCACTAGTTTACTGCCTATAAATAGTCAAACCACAAAAACTATTATAATTGCCGTCGTCTCTTAATTGTTTTTCTTGTATGTTCTTGAAACTCCTGGGTGTGTATATCCTTAATGTCTTTTAAAGACAGTATTCACATTGGCAGTCAGTTCATATTTGTAATGATCAGTTGTAATGTTAGCCTTCTTGCTAACTATCTCTGGTGAAGACAGCTGGTACAGTAACAGCAATAATGGCCGTCAGGATTTTTGCGGATTTACCTTGAACTACAGCTATCCGTTTGTTAGCACATCAATTCTTCCTCTTTCCTTCACTAGCACTAACACACACACCCCCACCCCCCCTTCGTCCCTCTCATCTCATTCAGGTCCTTTTGGTCATGTCCTTCCCTCATGTCGGCTACAGCAGTGTTATGACATTGGATAAGGAAAGACTATCAGCTTGTAAACAAGGTTAATTTTAGCCTGCACTCGGGGTAACTGGCCACATTCACCATCACCGGTGGAGACTGTGTGTGATGTGTGCTTACTGAAAGAAAGAAAATAGGAGGGAGAGGAACATATGTGGGTAAAACAACACAATATTGATTATTTCCATGATAGTTTCAATAAGTTTGATTTTAAGTGTGTCCTCTGGGAGCAATTTAATGTTCCGATCCTTTGCTTTAGCAATAGAAGCACGACAAATGGAGGGAAAACAGGGGGATGTTACATAATGTATGCAGTAATAGTGACCAAATGTCCAAAATAAATACTTCCAAATGAATCTCATTTGTCCATGACATAATGTGGCTGCAGAACAAAATAACTATTTTAACAGATAATCACAATACATGCAGTCATTAAATCATTTTTCATTCAAAAGTTACTCCTGGGAAATAAATCAACTGGACCACCAACTGGAAAAAATGAAGGACGATATAACTTCCTCCATTAACTCAAAAATACAATCTTACGTAACACAAGACTAAAAGATAACATTGCAGCTATCCGTGTAACATGATGTAAATATCTTTGAATGACACTAATGGTGCAGCCTCGTGTGTTGCAGATGCGGGCGCTCAGCAGTGTATCGGACCAGAGAGATGGCGGCCCGGGCCCTGGTCCCCTTCGTGTTGGTGACCCAGGTCCCCTCCACCGTGCACACGCTGCTGCAGGAGCTCCCTGCTGAGCCTGGACCCACAACCCAACACAACCACATCCACGGGACGCTGCTGCAGGTCTGCACCCACGCACACACCAACACAAACCAATACACTCGTATATACATAACATATGCCATAACATTCAGTGGGGTCTGTAATCACAAGTGCCCTAAAAAAACTAAAGTGCTTATTACACACAAAGCTTCTCAAATGTGAAGATTTGCTGCTTTTCGCCGTTTTTTATCATTTTAAATTCAATAGAAAAAGTAGTTTTAAACGAAATATACACGTATACGTCAAATACATTTTTCCTGCAAAATAGTTTTAAGTTTATTCTATTTAAGCAGATGTATGTTCAAGTGTTTAATTTTCCTCTAAGTTTGGTTGAAATAATTATTTCATACTATAAAAAGGGGTTGAGACAGCTGGGATAGACTTCTCTTTGTAAAGTATTCACGGAGCTAGAAGCTTGGAAAATGTAGGAATGTCAAGAGGTTAGTAAGGGTTAGCTCAGCATTTCTCAAAGTGTGGGGCGCAGAGATGTGATAGGTGGGTCGCGAATGGACGCGATGAACGGGAGATTTTTTTATTTTATTTATTATTTATTTTTTAAATAAATGTTTTGGACCTCAGGCCGGAATCGAACCTGGGTCCTCGCGGGCGGTAGTGGACTGTTACAGCTGGAGACTCGCAACGGCGGTGGACTTTCACAGCGCCGCTGCGCCGGACCCGTCGGAGCCTCGCAACGGCGGGTGTTTGCGGCGGCGGATGCGGTACCGGCGCAGCGGCGTTGTGAAAGTCCACGGCCCACCTATGCCAGAGCCAGCAGCCCACCGAAGGCATGCAGCCCACCAACGGCAGCGGCCCACCGATGGCCAATCCGAGCCTGCTCACACACACACAACTGAAACCAAAATCATTTACAGACGTATGTAAAAATCTCTCATACACACATGTGAAACGCTCTCTCACACACAACAGCGTTGCAGTCGGGAAGAAAAGCAATGTGGAGCGGCACCTCACCACTTCATAAGGAGTTTAACCGTGACACTTTTCGAAATCCCGTTTGTGTCCCCCCACTTTACAAATAGGCATATGTTTATTATAATTTTTTAACGCAAGCCGTCATCGCCACGGAGGAGCACACAGCCTCTGTGAGCGAGCGAGACAGAGAAAGAGCGAGAGAGCACACCTTTATCTATTTAATATAGCCTAGTTGTAAAAAATAATGTAAGAAATCATTCCAATGTGTACTATAGGACAGTAAAAAAAAACGTTTAAAAGGGGAGTGATTAGTAAAATATGCATAAATAAAAAGAAAGAATGCTAACTAGGTAACATAAGATAAGAATAAACCAGTTTAAAAGATTTGTTATTGGTTGTGATCATATTCTAAAGATGTTTGGATTATTGAAAAGTATACAGCTCCCTTTCATCTGAGTGTTGAGAGCTGTTTCCATCAATTCATTTTGTGCTCAAAGTGCACCAGATTGATGCTTTCACTTCAACATTTAAAAAAACATCTTCACAGGGGTGCATGCCCCCGGACCCCCCTAGAGCATGTGAGGTCCACCCCCAAATAAAGCAGGTTAAAATAATTAGATTGCATACATTTTACTTTAGTAAACACTGAAAACGGGTCCCACAGACCCAAACAGCACACAAAGGTTAAAGGTCAGCATATAATAATGTTAAAATGTGCTAAATATATACACTGCAAAAAAACAAAAAAAGAGGAGTAAAAGTAGCTCACGACTTGTTTTATTTTGTGAAAGTAGCTCTCATCCTAAAAAAGGTTGGAAGACCCCTGTTATAGAACGATACATTTTTAAGACAATTTTAAGCTTGGCCTACCATTTGATTGGAGTGATGAGGAACAGGTGGGGCTTGAAAAGGCCCACCTGTTCAAAGTGGGGAATGACAGAAAAAGTTTGAGAACCACTGGGTTAGCTTAACTTTCCATAACTGTTACTGTATGTTTCAAACATAAAGAACTATTAATCATTGTGTCACTCATCATGTCACTGGCTGTTGGACCGTCGTGTGTTTACGGTAGACATGCAGAGGATTTCTGAGATACTAATCACTATCAATAAGACATGGGTCGATTTGATCATCAATGTAATTGTAGAAAAAACAAGTGTTAGTTATTGTGTCTTTTTAGCTAAACAACTAGGGTGCTGCTAATGAAGCAGCTAGGTAGCGCACGCTAACAAGCTGTAGCCGTGCTTTGCTCACTATTGGGCTGGACAGGACATTATTACTTTGACCCCAGTCTCCAGGTCACTACTGTGCAGAATCTGGCTCCAAATCACGTCAAAAGTGCAAGATGGTAGGGTCTGTATCGGGATATGTTTGCTCTACTTTTGTACAGTGGAAGGAGGTAGAAAAGTGTCAACCATATTCACTGTCAGATGTAAAGGTTAGACAAAGAGTTAACAACTATTAATGTCAGTGTAAACAGGGTTGTGAGGACAGTTAAGACTTCGTTTTTTTACCAAAAAAGGAAAATAATTAGTTGAATCAATGTACATGTCTTGATTTTCAAAACATGTTCTTAACATCATCACATATTGTTTCAGGCCATGATGTTAAAATGATCTGAAAACCCCTAGCTGGTGAAATAGACGCGGTGTACAGTGATAAAATTGTCCATTATAGCTGACAAAATATGGAGATATGCACATCACATATTTTATTTGACAATCCCGTATGATACTCATGAGTTACTGATAAACCCATATCTTGCAGATCTTGTCGAACTAATAAAAGCAGCCTTGTACTGTATTTGGTTTACAACCATTCTCAGGGTTTAATATCTACCATCCATAAATGAATGAGTTTTGAATCCACAAATTCAAGTTAAAGCATGAAAATCTTCACAATTGGACTTAAAGGTTTGTATTCAACAAAGACAAAATATAAAATTCAATAACCTAAGCGCTTATCATAACATGTGAATGTGCACACCCACACAGAGATTATAAATGTGGAGCATCAAACCTCAACACACACACACACACACACACACACACACACACACACACACACACACACACACACACACACACACACACACACACACACACACAGTTTCCACACCAAGCCTGTCCAGACAAGGCGGTTATCACAGAGTAAATACCAGTGTTTAATTCTGTCATCACACTCTGACAAACACAACCAAACATTCTGCCGGTAATATCAACACACGCAGAGGGAAAAGGGGGAGCGGGAGTTCCCCCCCCAGCCTTTTATTACTGAACGCCACTGTTGAGGTCGTTGCGGGAGCAGGGGGGGGGTGCAGTGCGGCAAGAACCGGTGCCGGGGGGGTCGACACCAAGGATGAAAACTGCACCGATTTCTTCATCACTTACTGTATGGTTAGATAGCGGTCTGCACTGCATGGAGGTCCGCTGTGGGATGAAAGAAGGATAGCGAGGAGGAGGAGAGGGTGAAGAGGGGGGAGCTTCCCCAGATGTCTCCAGATCTGTTTTAACGTTGGTTCTCTTCTGCTCCATCTCCATCCACTACAGTATTATCTCCACATATTTACAGCATTACCAACGCTAAGCTAAAGGCCAATTCGGCGTGATGACGTTTATTAGTTACTAACCATGAAGTCACAAACTCAAAAAGCGAGAATCCTGCAAGACATTAGCTTTCAATAAGCCAAGCAATATTTTAAGTGCTACTGCAATGACTTCAAGGAAGCCTAACCTTTCCAAGTTGGTACAAAAGTGTTTTTTTTATTGGCCAGGGTGCTTTTGAAACAGACTGAAAGTGTTTAGACTCTCTGCTGTTCTTATATCAATGGGGAGCTTGTCCCATTATTTTGGAGCCAGGATAGCAAACGGGCCTTTTTTTGTCAATGTTGACTTAAATTTGTCAATGTTGACTTAAATCTGACAACATGATGCTCTTTTTGGATTACTTCTGATTTAGTTTAATCCCTAAAATGAGCTTGAATAGCTTTCCATTACACTTAACAAATCCTGTTTTTATTAGTCACTGAAAATACACCTTTGGCATTTAGGATCTAAGCATTTCATTCATTGTTCTGAACCTAGACAACCACACCCACAATTGGCACATTCCAAGTCACGCCCCCTTTAGTTACTGTTGCTTTGTAAGATATTGGGCATTTTGTCCAACAGTATAAACATGTCTTCACCTATGTCACACACCTATTATTTTATAATTTATTTTGGACAGGACTATAGCTGTTATATACAGTGACAGCTCACAGACACAGACATGTCTGTATGGGATGTAGCACAGCTGATGCCTCGAGCTCTTTCTTTGCCTTTTCATTTCCTTTTTCCTACCACAAAAAGCACACCAGACTATCATCACTCACCACTGTCCGTTCTCTGAATATGTCGAGTCATTTCTTCTGCTGCACAATATAAGTAAAAACCCAACAGAAGTATACATCATTCTAATATTTTTTTAAGTTCATGACTTATGATTATTTCACATAGCTCATATGTTGTTTTTATGGCACCAATGATCGATCCTTCAATACCGTTGCCCTTTTGATACCGATCCATTTGATGAAAGATCTCACAAAATTAGATTTTCTCCAAATCGCCCAGCCCTGATAAAAACAAGCAGCTGTTTTGCATTTTGAATCATGTTGTTGGCTATGTATATCTGTCTTAAATGATGAAGAATACTAGTTTCACAGATTTTCAGATGGCTACGTTAACCAAAGTGCACATTTTATGACATCTGCTGACAGAATGTATTCATGGACAGAAGTCGTTGCCTAGCAATGCAATTCCTTTGAAATAGTCCAACTGTGGTATAATGGAAAACCTCCTGGCACAAACTCGAGAGCCAGGGTTTTTAACATTACGTTGTATAACAGGGGCCATACACATTTGATTGAAGGGTTATCCAGAGTTGACAGTTCTCTTCATTATATTGTATATATCTCAGGGGCAATCTGTAACCAGGCTAAAGATAGCATGTGTGTTGGAAGTCATTATGGAGATGATGAAGGCAGATAAGGAGCTGTGGGCTGGGGAGCGGGACTGATTGGACTGTCATAGTAGGCTTTAGAGCTGCATGCA